CCACAAACGTCATTACGCAATAACTGCGCTAGGCTGCATGAACGCAATAATTATGGTCAATTTCAGGAAGGCAGTAAATGAAGTATATCCCTTCATAATTTTGGTCGTGACCATTTTCACTAAATTATTTAATAGCCAAATGAGCGCAAATTTTCAAAGCACCCATACATTCATGCTACCCCACGCGCATCAGTTTCTGACGGGTCATTCAAAACAATCGAGTTAACCACCGTTTATGTCAACATGACATCCTCAATGAGGCCCATCCATCACCGGCCCATAACCCCATCATCTCGACCTCAGTTTTTCCGCTGCGGGACCAGGCGAGCCGTCAGCGCGCGCTCAAACCCATCGCCGTGGCCCACTTACCCACCCATCCACACACCCATCACCCACCACCTCCCACCAGCTCTCTCAGCGGCCGCGTCCACCGAGCGGCCTACTCTCCACACACCGCAGATCGTATGCGCGATACGGCCGCGTCGCGTCGCGTCGGCCGCGGCGGACGAGTTTTTACCTCGGCCGCGCCGCATCGACCACCTTGCAGAGCGGCTCGTTGGTCGCGTCCGGCTCTCGGCGCCGGGCGAGCGCCGACATTTGTCGCCGCCCAAGACAATGCTTTTCACGGGTGGCGTCGGCCGGTGGCATTCCGGCGCGGAAAAACGGCCGCTGGCCGCTGGCCGCGCTCGGCCGATGGCTATCGCGGCGCGGTGTTTTTACGGCGGCGCGGCGCGCGGCCGCCGGTGACGCGGCCACAAATCATGGCGCAGTGTCGCGCCGCGCCGGCCGACCGGTTCGCCGCCGGCCGCCGCCGATGGCGCGATAGCCCGCCGCGATCGCTCACCGCTCCGCGCCGCCGCCCGGCGCCGCCTGATGGCTCCGTCCGATAGACGGCGACGGACGGCAGTCGTCAGCCCCCGCGGCAGCCGCGGCCGCAGAGCCGGAGTGGCTAGCATCCAGACACCATTTGTTTTGTCAGCGACGTCAGAAAACCCACAGACGTACAGCGCCAGCACTGAGAATCCACAAATCATCCGACTTGTCAACCTGGCACCGGCGTACCTAAAAAGCGGCGGGTACCTGCGCTGGGCACAGCCCCATCAGTCATCCAGAGTCCTCATCCACCCACCTCCTCCCGCCCTCCCCGCCCGCCCCGCCGCGGCGGGGCGGGCGGACAGACGGCGCGCCGTCTGTCCGTCCATCGCTCTCTGAGCGCGTGTGCGGTCCGCTCCGGGCTCAGCAGCGCCCCCTGCGGCCAGTGCGCTGACCGGGCGGTAGGGCGGCGCCACCGTCGTGCCGGCCCGCCCCCCGCCGTCCGGGCCGCCGTAACAGCGTGTTTAATAGCCGGCTGTCGGTGCCGGCGGCGCTGGCTCGTTAGTCGTGTTTACACGCGCCAGCGGCGCCACTCGTCAGGAATGCTGGCCGTGCCACGGGAACGGAACGGCATGACAAGATGGGGATGGCACTGCAATGCACGACATGGAGAGGCATGACAGGACGGGAGCAATTAGGAGAGGGTAGGGCAGAGCAGGAAACGACGCGATATGGTAACATACGCCGGGATGTAGGAAGGCACAGCCGAACAGTGGGCAGGGCGGGGCAAGGCACGATACAGCAAGGTGTGGCTGTATGAAATCACGCGGCACAGTAAGGCGGGAGACAGTGATACGCTGAATGGCATTAAGGACGTGAGAAGTGGGTGGGTCTTGTGTATAAGACAATAACTGTGGCAACGGGAATACGAACGGTGTTGATGGTTTTGTGGCGATTGATGGCCTAATTGCTGTCAGCTAGAGCATGCAAGGCTCGTGAGTGAGCCGCTGATACCCGCAGGGTTTATGTCAGACAATGAGCCACGCTCGACAATATATCGTCACCGGATAATCATCTGAATATATAGTACGATACCCGAGCGGCCCGGAGCGAGGGCCGGGTAATTAGTTACCCGGTATGACATCCAGAGTCGCTGATAGCTGTCAGCACATCTCTCAGCGCAGCCATAGCCGTAACTCAGCTCGGCGCAGGGAGCCCCACGCCGAGCCGAGCGGCGGCCGCCTCCCTCGCTCTCGGCCCGTCCCGTTCTGCAGAGCGCGCGGCGTCACGGTGGCGCCAGCTCCCCGCTGGGCGGACAGCGCCATAAACCAGCACCCGCCCAGCTCCGGCCAGCACCGGCCAGCTCCCACCGACCGGCAGCCGGGGTATCTCACAACTCGGATGATACGCTCCGATGGCCTGTGCAGGTCGGACCACCAGCGGACAACGGAGTCGGCCCGCGGCGGCGGCGGACCGGGGCGAGTCTGCCTATTTAACGGCCCACTCGGTTAATGGCCGCTGGATGCAATTACTAAACGGTCAGTGGGTGTCCGCTGCAGACGGAATCCCAGCCAATCCGCCTCATGCAGACTGCGATGCAGACGTCCGAAGCAGCCTGTCTTGTTAGACGATAACAACTCAGGCTGGTCCGTGCGCACCAGTGCTAGTTTGCGTGTAAATGACCAGTGGAAGGCGGATGGTGATGATGATGGCAATGTTTTCAGTAGGTAACGGACCTGCCGCCGGCTGCCCGTTACAAATAGCCGACCAACACGCGACCGAGAGAGTCTGAATGGAACGGGCACGAGTGGGACACAACGGGCGTGCGTATGTAAATACGGCCCGCATGAGACAGCACAGGATCCCAGGGTGTTTGTTTCTCCCTCCCTTCGAGTTATGAGTAGCGACGCACTGTGTTTCAGTCTGAGGAAGTGTAGAGTCCAAATTTTGATGAGCTATTGTGTGGTAAGCATAAACAATAGGCTTACCCCAATACCAGACATATGCACCCAATTATGCAAATATCTACCTTAATTAGGTAAGCTATGCAAGTGTGCCACGCCAGGCACCTTCGCCTACGTCGTCGCCAGCAACCCTTCGCCTACGCATCCGTTCAATCCTTGTTACGTCCGGAACCCCTCCTCTCCATCTTCCCGAAACCCAATCCCTCGAGCCCACCCCGGCGCCACTCCCCTCCCCAGAAGCACGTGACCGGCCACCGGCGCGGGGTCAGCTTCCCAGCAGCGGGGGCCCTTTTTCCACCGGCGCGACACCGTCTGTTATTGATGCTCACTACCGCCAGCAGCGTGCCGGGTCACCACCGTTCGCTCACAACACCAGGCGCTCACAGGTCCTCCTAGCAGCACCGCCAGCCGCGGAGGCGGACGGGAGCCGGTGGACGGGCCTCCGGTCGCCGGGCTGACTTGCAGCCGCGCCGCGGGTCGTCTGCAAAAACGGCCGCTGTCCGGCGCGGCGCGGTGCGTGGGAACGACCGAGCGAGGTGTGTGTACACACGGTGTCAGCGCACCTACCTGGCGGTGACGGACAGCCCGCCCGGAGCAGCCGAGCCGGAGATAAGGTGAGGCTCCCGGCGCGTGGCGGGTGCGCTCGTATGGAAGGCATGGGAACGCCGTGCTAGGAGTGTATACTACATCACGGAGACAGAGTACCTTCAGGAGCTGGACTGGCAGGCACGGAGTGCTGGGTATTTATTGCGGCGCTAGTGCGGCCATTGCTTTGCCGTCTGACCAGAGAATCGGTCGTAGGATCTAGAAACCGAGCTTCTGTCAACGCAGCATATTTAGGGCTCACTCAACCACAAATGGCTTTAGAACAGCGTTACACTTAATGTCACTTTGTAGTTTGTAGTGTTGTTTGACCGCATGGGTCGTAGGATGATGGGCAGTACGGGTGTTGTGGACTCTCCACCTTCTTAATTTGCATCTCATGCTGGTCACCCAAACACCTATGCTATTAACTTTGTTTGAATTGCTTTGTTGAATTAGGAGCTACTGGTCTTATGACCATACCAAGGGCCACGGAATGGAGAGGCATGGGGCTAAGTCGACTACCGACTGGAGCCCACCGAGTTGGGACGGAAGTGTCCCGGCTAGACAGACTACCTAGCCACTAAAACCGGTCATCCCGGAGGGGTAGTTTCCTCCTCCTGGATCTGTCCTCACTGACTAGTTTGGCGGGATCACGATCTGCACGGAGTACTGAAGTATAAGCACTGATCGCGGGTGAGGACGGGGTGATCCTGAGCAGAAATGGGAAGGTATGGTAGAGGATAGACAGGAGCGGAGTAGATGAAGGGACGGATGGGACAAACCGATTACTACAGCGAACGCACACCGGTATACCAGTGCCGCCGAGCCACCATACCAGCGAGCCGTGTGTCGGCGGGCGGGAGTCCCGGCATGAGCGCCATCTATGAACCAACATGAAAACTGGATATCGGTGCCCTGCCCCTGCTGGCCGCGGCAGCACCCGCGTCCAACGGAATCTTTTTTCTTCTTATCCGAACAAACGCCTACCTAACGCAATAAACGCTAAGCAAGTGTATAAATAACCATAGTGTTTCCAATAAAGGACTGTTCCGATTCGCTCATCCGAAAGGCAACGCGACGATAAAAATAGCCTCTTCAATCGCACTACGACTGTACCGCAGTCACCTCGACTCTCAAACAAAAATGCACCTTTCGCTGAATAAACAATAAACATCATCCGTGGTGGACAGTACAAGCGAATGAACGGCTCAATTTGCGGACACCACTCACCACACCAAGCCGATAACCATGCCGAGTGTCGAAGTCTAATCGGCGAGAACCTTTCCAGGCGCAGACAATGAACGGAATCAGTCTTGTAGAAAGCTCCGGAGAGAGAGAGAGAGAGAGAGAGAGAGAGAGAGAGAGAGAGAGAGAGAGAGAGAGAGAGAGAGAGAGAGAGAGAGAGAGAGAGAAAGAGAGAGAGAGAGAGAGAGAGAGAGAGAGAGAGAGAGAGAGAGAGAGAGAGAGAGAGAGAGAGAGAGAGAGAGAGAGAGAGAGAGAGAGAGAGAGAGAGAGAGAGAGAGAGAGAGAGATCACGAAAAGACCACAGAATGCCAGTTGTAAGAAAGTGAAAGTCCAATAAAAGTTCGCGCCCAGTGTGGGGGGAAATGTGACCCGTGGCGGCGCCGCGGGACTGACCTCAGCGTCGATGGCCTGGTAGTCGGGGTGGTCCTCGTCCAGCTCAAAGTACAGCTCGTTGGACGTGATGGAGATTGTACCGGGGACCACCAGGCCGGGAGCCATAAGGTAGGCCGGTGTCGACATGTTCACTGGACCTGACGGAGCGGGACAACGAGGTGGTCATGGTACTGGGCTCAGAAACTCGGGACAAAGTTAGAAAAACGTCAACACGAGGCAACGATATTGTTCAGCGATGCCAGGTTGCCTGTCATTTTGACTTCCGTTCAAGATGTCACGGGTATTCAATATAACCCGCAATTTGAGACATAGTTGCTTCACATCACTGCAAAAGGTTATTTAAAGCAAACTCAAATAGAAGCACATAACACACTCCACCTAACCGACAATGCAAGCCGTCATCGCCGTGAATACCTACCAGCTATATCGCTGTCGATATCACGATCCTCTGCCGTCACGTCGTACTCGTCCTCTGAGGCCGTGACGCTCTGCTGGTGACGCCGTTTGAGCGTCACGTGCGCGTGGAACTCCTGCTGCGCCTGCTGGATGGCGTCCTCGGGCGCTCCGTGCTCGAGCGCCGCCTTCAGCGTGGCCTCTGGGTGCGAGGAGCCGTGCGGGTTGGGCACCAGCCGCCGCCGGCGCCGAGAGTCGTCCTCCCACGCGTCCAGCTTCCAGAACTTCAGTCTGGAGGGGAGAAACGGGGTGGTGAGGGTGTGCTATCAACTGGCTGTTCGCAGGGTGGTTAGTGGAAATCTGATCGAGCGATCAGATAGTAGATAGATCAGATAGTAGCGCTACTATCAAGAGGTAAGCTACAAAACGTGCGCTTCAAAAACCGCATTAAGCCTAAGGTTCAAGGAGGACCCAGCGATCATATTCACTCAAACCTTATTGCCAAAACTCTCGACGAAATAATCAAAACGCATTGGATTTTCACTCTACTCATTATCCTGTATGAACCGACGGTAACAACTTATTTACACGAAATTCTACCAAACACAACACCACATGGCACCGACCAATACACAGACGACAATCTCTCGATGTACGATGTAAGTTCGATGATTCGCCCACACACAGGGCATGACACTGACCTGGGGACGCTGGGGTCGCCACCCCAGGCGCCGTGCTGGCTGGCCACCAAGTTGAGCACCCTCTCAATGAGCCGGCCGGCGATGACAGAGTCTCGTCGGCGAGCAGCTGTGATCAGGTGGTCACACATCCGCTCCTCCTCCTGACGGGTGAGCACCGTCTGCGCGCAGGCCGACTGAGGAGAGGAGAGAAAGAGAACGGGGAGGTCAAATCAGGGTAAGTCAGGTCACCGGTCGCACATACTCCCGTCTTCCTGCAGACTGGCACTTCTGTAGACAGGCTAGAGATCGAGAGCTCGCATCAATGTTTGAGACTAGCCTAGCGTTTCAACACCAAGCGACAGTGAACAAACTCTGCACAGGTTAAGGGGAATAAAACCCTGGAACCGTGTGTATTATCTGACTGAACCCACCTCGAACTCTGCGTGTTTGAGCACGTCGTCGGCCCTCATCCTGTTCAGTATAAACTCGGCCTCGTTGGCCACGCGGACGATGTGGTCCTTCATCGCGTGAGACAACAGCCTGAAATACGAAAAAATCGCCGGGTCAAAAAATAATATATACCTAGGACAGAGCGAGGCTTTGCTGATGTGCGAACACTGGGCTGGCGTAAGAAGACAGGCATAAGTTATCAACCAGTAAAACGCCTTTTGGGCGAAGAACGAGCGAGCGAGATAGTGAGCCCTGCACGTGCGGAAGGGCGAGAGGGTACTTCCAACGGGGCTTGTGCAAAGCACCCTTCTAAACGGTCGATAGCGTTGTGCCAAATTTGAACGCAATCGGCCCAGCCGTTCCTGAGATCTGGAAGCGGCATTCTGCACGTGCGCACGTGCAAACGGGGTCCACACTGACTTTTGCACGGCACCCTACTAACCGGTCCCCAGCCGTGTACCAAATTTGAGCACAATCGGCCCAGCCGTTCTCGAGATCTGGAAACGCCCCCTGCACGTGCGCACGTGCAGTAGCACCCTAACCGCAACACATGGGAATGCATTGCCTGGTAGGTGCCTACCTGTATGCCAAGTTTCAGCGAAATCGCCCAAGTAATTACCGAGTTATTAAAATGGGAACAAATTTGACACCTCTTGTTGTTGTATTTTGCACGTGCACTGGGGGTGACCCACATGCATCGAGAGTATCCTATTTTTGGTAGAAGGGATGCAGCTACCGTACCAAAATTACCGCAAGACAATCGCCCTAGCGGCTGCTGAGATATGAGCCTCTCAAAATCACTACTTTTGCAAAACAGCTTGAACACCCTTGACTTTTCACGTGGCACGTGCCACGACGGTCACTGAGATGTATCAAAAGTAGTCAATTACGGGGTAGAAGGGATGGGGCTACCCAACAAAAAAGACCGCAGGCCAATCGGTCCAGCGGTTGCTGAGATATAAGCCTCTCAAAAGCGTTACAGGCCGGGCCCGGCCCGGCCTGTAACGCTTTTGAGAGGCTTATATCTCAACAACCGCTGGACCGATTGGACTGCGGTCTTTTTTGTTGGGTAGCCCCATCCCTTCTACCCCGTAATTGACTACTTTTGATACATCTCAGTGGCCGTCGTGGCACGTGCCACGTGAAAAGTCAAGGGTGCTCAAGCTGTTTTGCAAAAGTAGTGATTTTGAGAGGCTCATATCTCAGCAGCGGCTTGAGCGATTGTCTTGCGGTCATTTTTATAGGGTAGCTGTATCCCTTCTACCCAAAATAGGATACTCTCGATGCATGTGGGTCACCCCCAGTGCACGTGCAAAATACAACAATAAGAGGTGCCAAATTTGTTCCCATTTCAGTAACTCGGTAATTACTGGGGCGAGTTCGCTGAAACTTGGCATACAGGTAGGCACCCACCAGGCAATGCATCCCCATGTGTTGCGGTTAGGGTGCTACTGCACGTGCGCACGTGCAGGGGGCGTTTCCAGATCTCGAGAACGGCTGGGCCGATTGCGCTCAAATTTGGTACACGATTGGGGACCAGTTAGTAGGGTGCCGTGCAAAAGTCATTTTGGACCCCGTTTGCACGTGCGCACGTGCAGAATGCCGCTTCCAGATCTCAGGAACGGCTGGGTCGATTGCGTTCAAATTTGGCACACCGCTAGCGACCAGTTAGAAGGGTGCTTTGCGCAAGCCCGTTGGAAGCACCCTCTCGCCCTTCCGCACGTGCAAGGCTCACTATCTCGCTCGCTCGTTCTTCGCCCAAAAGGCGTTTTACTGGTAATTATTAGTTACTGTTCACAGGCTGCCTTCCCGCCTTGCGTTTGCAATCTGCAAACAATATACCGGCAAAACAAAGAGACAATACTGACCTCCCCTCATTGATGAGTTCAATGAAGGCCAGGCCGGCGTGTTTCTGCAGCGAGTTCTGCCACTCTTGAGAGCAGAGTAGCATCACCAGTTCCACCACGGAATGGCCAGACTTGAACGTGGCCATGCCCTTGCCCTCGGAGAGCAGCTCCTGGCCGTGACTGCCGATCAGCGTTTTGCTGAGGAACGATGAGAAGTCGACCATGATCTCTCGAAGAAGGGGAGAGATGGAGCTGAGCGCCACCTCCAGTTTCAGCGTCAGGTTCGCCTCACGGGTCGGCGTCGGCAGCGGCGCCTGGCGGAGAGCGGAAGAGTTACAGAGGTCACCCGGCCATGGTTGTGAAAACGGAACAAAACCCCGGGCGCATTTAGAGAGAATGTCTTCAAATTGGCAGTGCGAATGTCATTGACGGATGTGACTGTTTTGCCTAAATTGACATTCATAGACGTCACAATTGGTTACGAGTCGCAGACCCCATTTGTATCATGCTAGACGGCACAGTATCACTCCAGGCGTTCATAGCTGCTGCCATCTAGCGACAACAACACAAACCTACACGATTCACCATCATCAGCCTCCACGGCGCCGCACCTCATGCACGAAGCCCTTGATGTGCAGGTCCTCGGGCCGGGCGGGTCGGAACTCCGACTGTACGGTGGCGGGCGGCTGGGAGCTCTGGCTGGCCGCTGACGCTGCCGTAAAGTGGGGTGAGCTGCTGACTGTGGAGATCTCCTGCAGCGGAGCAGCCGGACCTGTGGGACAGGATGGGGGTGAAGGTGAGGGTCGAGCTGATAAAACAGCATCAGCACAACCTACAAGATCAGATAGCCTGCGCTTTACAACACTCAATATAGAAAGCGAAACGGTAGTCCGTCAGACTCTGGCTGCTTGGTATGCGTAAACTTATTCAATATCGTCGACATAAGAACGCATGCTCCAGCTGTCTCAACACCGCGTTAACCCGCGTCCGGCTGGGGGTCCTGGATTTCCACGCCCTGCTGGGGGGGGGGGGGGTTTGAACACCCCCCCCCCCTTGTAACTCGGCTCCTGGGCCACGTAGCGATACGCGGAAGGCGGCGTTCGAAAGAGCGTCAAAAATAATGACGAAATCACTTCGGTCAATTTTTTGCTCAGGTCAAAGGTCAGGTCACCAGAGGTCATTGAAGGCAAAATTTCGCCGATTTCCAGGTCGAATATCGAAAATTTCCAAGAAGCCAACGCATAACTCGGGAACCAATAGAGCTACAGCGCCGCGGAAAAGCGCATTCGATAGCCCTATTAACGCCCTTTCTGAGTAATTCTTTCAGATTTGACCTAACGTCAACGGTTTTGCCTGCAGGGGGCAAAAACTGCAAAAATAGCCGATTTTTTCGAAAACAGTTTTTCTGCAATAACTTTTGACCCAAGCCTTGTACGAGCTTACTTTTATGGGCATCGTGTTCCTCTCGTCAAGACGCATCGAATGAACCATAACTTGACCTTGAAAGGTCAACTTGATAATTTGACCTCAGGTCAAGGTCATGACCTGACCGGAAAGGGTCATGTTGCATATCAGTCGATCCGTATCGTCGAGCTAAACACATCTAAGGCGTTTTCATCGCTCTAGCATGCCTCTATCAAAAGTTATTTGCGAAAAACTGTTAGATACCATTCGTGACCTAAGATGACCTCAGGGCATAAACAAGGGTCACGGACACCATTTTCATGTTCAATGTGTCTAAACCACTTGTAATTCAGTGTTTGGGAGTGTTTATAATGTCTTGCATCCAAAAGAGGCGCATTTCAATTTTCTCCCATTGACTTATAAATGGCGAGGTCGCAAAATTGACCTGACCTTAGGTCATCGATATCAAAATTCTGAGATACACATTTTGTACATGCTATTGCCCTTAGCAATCGCTGAAAGTTTCAAAGCGATCGGTCACTCGGTGTAGCTATGACAGACATTGAAAGTTTTTTATGAGGTGAGGTCACTTCAAGTGACCTGGTGACCTGACCTTGAATGACCTTGGTCTGAAATTTTCACAACATGTGTAGAATTGATGTATGATAAGGTGTACCAAAAACGGCGGCGCTTGAGATATTCGCGAAAAACCACAAGGGGGGGTGTTCAAACACCCCCCCCCCCCCCAGCAGGGTGCGGGTTAAGCAGCTTCTGAGTTAGCACCGGCAGCCGGTTCGCGTTGGCGCACTAAGGCCCTAGTGCCACTTGATTTCTAGTGTCACTAGGCAATTTCGGTTCGCGCTGAGCCACTAGCCTATTGGTGTAAAATACCGCTCAGAGTCCCAACCTGTAAGTGTCACTTGGCCGCCTAGTATTACTAGCTTCCTAGTGCGCTATCTCGAACTGGCCCCAGGGGCCTCCGAGTCACTCTACAATCCCTATCCTCTCTTAGACTCATACGACCTGCGGAGTGCACAAACCCCTTCCCCACACAGCCCATCCCTTCACTCACCGCTCTGCGTCTGTCCGTCGCCCTCGTCCAGTCGCACATCGGACCACTGCTTCTCTTCGGCCGCACCGCGGGGTCTGTCGGCCGCCGGCGCAGATCCACCGTCCGTCTCCGGCTCGGCGTCCGGTGGCCGGCTGGAGGCGCGCGAGACGCGGCCCGGGGGAGCCGAGCCATCCAACTCCGCCTGTGTCGGCGGGTCGGGCCCCGGCAGTCAGCAGGGGAGGAAAGGGACGGGATCCCCCCCGGACGGGGAGCGAGCGCAACAAGACAACGTGCGGCGTGGTGGACGATAGAGAAATCAGAACATCGAGCGCAGGCCGCGGCCGCGCGCAGGCCAGTTTCATCGCGCTGAAGCAGTGATGCTACGGACAGATCTATTTCGGCTATATATCTAGACAGTAGTCAAAGCAAAAATGCTCCTTGTTTGTTAGTGGAATCTTTCGACAGCAGAAATAGAACCGACCGTATGCACGAGCAATCGCATCAGCCTGCTTCAAGCTTGTGGTTGCATGTGATATCAAACATATCCTTGTAAACGTCTCACATGAAATCGTGCCGCGAATTTATTTTGTCTACAGTATCTATTGCTAACTCGCTACATGAGTAATGGCATCAACTAGTCTAGCTCAGTCACACAGGATTTTTGAGTGACAAAATAGAAACCTTGTCGCTCCTATACAGCAATGTCAAAGCAAAATAGTATGCTGATGATAAGAAGCGATTGAATCAAACATACGTCAGGCCATTCCTAGGCAAATATCTTGCAAACATATTTTACAGCTTTTGAGGATGTTCACTATCACAACGTCCGCTGGTCAAACAAGCAAAAAAATGCCCTTCGATCGCAGGCTCATATTGGGTTCCCGTGAAATTCGCATGTATTACTGCGAAAGTAGAGTGACCGCTTTTTCATTTATCCCCTTCGAGTGAAGAAGTACCCATTTTGTGCAAAAGCTGCACAAAATAGAACGTTCTCTCGTTCTCTCAAATACTGGCAAAGCAAAAAAAAAAACAGCGCCGATATCAAAAAGTTCGATAAAATAAATACGAAATTAAGCGCTGCACCGTTAAATAGCCGAATAAGCTACCAAAGAGCACAGTCCTGGCCTAAGCATCGAGCAATCGTGTGATCGAGCAATCGAGCATTGATCATGTCATGCGATGTTGCAATACCGCCAACGGTGGCAGACAAAAGCGTGGCACAACCTGTTAACAAGCGTAGATAAGTTTGAATTAGCATCGAAAGAGCCTTGAGCAATTTTTTTTTTTAAACGTCCTCAAGGATGCGTCCAAATATTGGAGCCACTATCATTTAGCAAATTTTATGTCGGACCATGCCACGCTTTTGTTCTGTGTTCGCCTAACTAGGCCCTCCGTCGACCGCTCATCAGCCCTCACTCTATGCCAGAGTAGGACCCTGAGCGGCGCGGCAGGACCCAGCCACTGCGACCCACTCTGAGCCCGGACCGCACCCGGGTCCACACGGGCAGAGGTCGCTACTCACCCGCTCCGCAGCGGCCGCCTGGTTGGCTAGAACGGATGGGTTGGCCTCGTCAACGACAAGCACCTCGGTGACAGGCTGCTCGTCGGCGGCCGGAGGGGGCGGCGGCGGCTCGGCCGACGCGCCCGCCAACGCCGCTGGACGGTCACAGGTAGGGGTTAGGTTAGACGGGGTAGGGGAGAGGTTACGACAGGCTACAATAGGTCAGACACGCATATGATGTAATGGACAGGGGACAGGGTGGTCACAGTTAGGGGCAGGTCAGACGCGCACACTGGGTAGGGGACATGGGCGTCGAAACCGGGGGGGACGGGGGGGACGCGTCCCCCCCAGTCGAGGAATCCGGGGGGGGGGACGTCCCCCGCAAAAATATGCCCATGAATGATTTAAAAAGTGACCTACGACATTGGTGTATTGTCGTTTTGGGATGAAATTGCGGATACCTACTCGTATACAAATTGAATCTGCAAATTGCTGACACTTGCTTACAGGGCTGCAGAGCAGATGATTTTGGTAACTCCGACTCCGGCTTAAAAAAAAAAAAACGCTCGGAGTCCCCACTCCATCTCCGACCACGGCATCCCTCGGCCCGCATCGGAGTGAAAAAAAAACATGTGATGTGATGCTTTTGTCTCTTTGAACGTTTCTTGGCACATTAAAAGATAACATTGCCTACGATGTGCAGCTCTGGACTGTCCGTCCCAGGTCCTCGATAGGGAGCCAAAGCTCCAGTTGTAGGGGCGACCGTATCCAACAAGGGCTGAAGATCTGTCCCAAAGTCTCAGAGTGCAGTAGGACAACAGCTTGCAGAGACCACACATTTTACATAGGATATTCGTAATAGTCAAGACCTTCAGCTCACTCTCAAACGGCCCTCTTCCCGTTCGAGGCCATCCGACAGCAGAAGGTCTCACCATGGCCTTTGAACGCTTGATGCTTGAGGGTGAGAGGACCTCGTCCTGGTCTGAGAGAGGCCAGGAGGACGTAATGCTCAGTATGCCCCTACATTGGTCTTACCATGACCCCTACAATCACCACAGCCAACAGAATCTCCAGCTCTTATTCGACCCATCCTCGGGGATGACGTTGACTCTGACTTCAGAGTTGAAGTCTGTTACGATTTTGACTCTGTGTGACTCCAACTCCGTATCCGACCAAAACCGTCGACTACGACCGAAGTCGACTCCGACCCCGCAGTCCTGCAGCCACACTGCACAGAAGTTGGAAAAAGCTGTACCTATGGTTGACAGCGGTTTACAGAGGACCACACGATTTTTTAGAGGCAGGGCTGCTGGACTTGGTGACCAGACCCTAACTGTCCTGGTATCAAACTTATTACGCGGGATGCAAAATTTATGCGTTTTGGGACTGTTTTGCCAAGAGTTTTTGCCAATTTTCGCGGCGCTTCGCGCCGCCAATTCATGCACAGGTAAAAAAGATTGTGACTAATAACGCCTCCACACGAGAACATGAGAACATGTGTATTGTGTATGCGTTACAAGTAGTGCATAGGCCTGAAATTGTACGGTAAACTAACTAACTTTTGGGTTTTTAGTCAGCCAATCCGTCCCCCCCAGTCAAAAATCCGTGGCGACGCCCCTGGTAGGGGATATTCAGATGAAAACAGAAACGGGGACGGGTGAAGCAGATGGACGTGACTGAGGGTGAGGAAGTACTCGGGCAAACTGGGACGAAGGAGCACACTACACAAAACGACAAGCACATGCAAATATTCGGAAGTTATCAGACATCGACAAAATTGATGTAGAGCCAGAAGTTGTTATTCGTGCTCACACTCAATGTAAAGGTTTAAGCTAACTGCACACACCAACCGAAAATAAAGCACTGGTACCTGAGAATACGGCCCACCCACCCACAGTGAATAGTTGTCAGTTCAGCACGATTACAGATCGATAATTAGCATGAGTACTTGCTGAAATCAGCAACAAAACACAAAATCTTCTACGTTACAACGCCAAATCTACTAAGAACAAAAACGAATATGACCATCTTACCGCACCACACACACACACACGCAAACTGACACCAACCTGCCCCTCCCCTCCCCACCCTCCATCACCCCTCACGCTCTGAGCCTGGCCCGGTCTCCCTCTCCCTCGGAGACTGACCTGCCCGCACGGCGGTCAGCTGACCGGGCTCCAGTATATCGCGGTACTTGGACACCATCAACACAGAGATGAAGTAGATGGTCGCCAGAGAGAGGAACTGCGCCTGCTTGGTCTCCTCCTGTGGACGGCGAAGGGAGGTGAGCAAAGGTAGGGAATGGAGCGGTCACACAGAGAGCTCACCAGAGGGCGCGCAGCCTCACACAGACCCACGACGGAGCCAGATACACACACGACACCGACCAGCCGCCCACCAGACGCCCCGGAGGTGAAAATGACAGTGGAGTGGAGATAATTGACCTTATATTACAGTCAGTTACCTCGTCAGATGCCTTTTTATCAATTAAGCTACCTGACGAGAAAGCATCATTTCACGGTGCCATTTTCACCTCCAGTAAGCCGGTGTTTCCATTCGCTCAGCAGTCGGCAAGCAAGCGGCCAGCTGCACATGCGATCGCTTGTACCCCTCAGAAGATTCCGCCTCCAGCCTGCTCCGGCAGTATGTGCAGCGTCGTGGCTGTACGGCCTATATACACGCAGACTTACGAACAAGATGCCAGAATGATCGCAAATGATTTCAGAGTCTAACTTCGTTAAAATTAGTTAATACAAAACGCGTTTGATTAGCAGATCATGTCATTGTCACTTGAACAGCGAGCATAGCGCAGCATAGCGCGTAAGAATTCCAAGAGACTCACAACCGCCAATCCGAAGGTCGTGTTCTGTAACAATCGAGGAGCTGTTGTCTCGGCCTGCAGCTGTTACCGTCTATTTTCACTCAACCAACGAAATATGCAGATGAACTCAACCAAATAACACTCAAAGTAAAATGGAGCTTAGTGTCACAAATCTAGCTCGGGTCTGCACAGCGACCTTTCATGAAGAAGCTACACAGCTGTTTTGCTCGTATTCAGCACTTGAACACAACTCTTCGGGAGCATTTATAATGCACCCTTGGCAGCCCTTAAGCTTACCCAGGTGATATGTAGAATTCATTTCAATTCAGACACCTCAAAATAAAATGGACAAACGGTAGAGAAAACCACTAAGTCATCTAAGTCAAGGGTGCACCAAGCGAACGACAGAACCATAAGAAAACATTTATATTAATGTGCAGGCACAGCATAGTGATACGAAGTGGTCAAACGCTTCTTCGAAAAACAAAACACCCGTGCCCTCTCAGCTGAAAGTGATTCAGCGTCGTCAAACTCACCACATCTCTGTAGACGATGGCTCGCAGCCGGTTGACGTCCATCTCCTGCAGCAGCTTCTCCGGGTCGCGGACCGGGGTCACCACGGCGTCCGGGTCACCGGCCTGCTGTGACATGAGGTCAAGGTCATCAGAGTGCTGTGAGACACGGGGTCAGGGTCATCAGACCATTGCGAGACACAGGGTCAGCTCCAAAAAGATCCACTTTCGACCGGCTCCGCTCTTCAGTCTACGCTACCCAGCGATGAACAGTAACAAACGATCAACATCACTACTTCCACTATCCATATCTCCGACTTGCACTCCGTCGCGGCGGCAGACGCCGACAGTCACCTACCCTGGCTGTATCTCCCTCGTACCTCCGAACCAAGGTTCAGAATCAGCCCCCCCCCCCCTCCCCCCATGTATTAGGACTCCAATATTCAGGATCAGACCCCTCCACTTCCAACCGAGCCGTGCAGTCGAGCCGCGCTTGCCGATCACCTACCGTGGCCAGGATGGGCACATTCTTCAGACCAGTGATAAGCAGCTGGATGGTCCGGTTCGGTTTTACGTCCGGATGTCGCATCAGTCGCTCCCGCTCCTTACACTCGAGACAGTTGCGGACGGCGGCCGTGCACACCTGGGGATGGAACAGGGGTGTCAGCTGGTGCTAGAGGAGCGATACGAGCGTATTCTCACTATGTAAGGGAGGGGATGGGTCCTTATTCACTAAAAAAAAAAAAAAAAAAAAAAAAACAGGTGCGAATACGGCGGAAACGAGCACCTAAGGAACGTTCTTTCCTCTGTGATAAGGCAGGATGTCCCTGATTGATCTTCAGTCATCATGTTATCGGTTGGTTATTATATAAATATCGGTTTCCTGAGTAAGAGACGTGCAGCGTACAACAGGCGTAAGACACGCTGAATAAATATAGTGATTAAATAACTCGTACTGCCGGTACTGTGAAACTGAATGGAAAAAAAATGTAGGCGGCCACGGAAACAAAGAGAGTGCGCCGCCACAGCTCAAGCTACGGTTCAAACTCCAGACACATAATGGATGGCAACTCATTTACCAGGGATCGTTGCTAAGAGCCGTTTCCTCGAAAACCCTCGCTTATCGATGCCATTAACCAGGCAATGCCCATCGTCAGACTGATGTAATGGTAAACTGCTGCCCACAGTAGATAGCATTTAAGACGGCTTTCCTGTTTCCGCGGTTAACATCTAGGAATCTCTACCTACAGGCTTTAGCAAGTCTTCTCCCCCCCCCCCCCCTCCCCGCTCAATCTATGCGCAGCGCACATCCCGGATAGTAACAACGACCCCATCAGACAGTGAAAAATACGGGTGCCGCCGCGCTGGCGGATTTGCATCGGTAACTGCCTCCGGGCCGTATATTTGGCGCGTGATCAGACTGAGCCTAAAACGGCTGCCGGCCGCTAACGCATCGCCGAGCGGCAGCTGAGCCGGGGGCCCTCTTTGGTCGATCAACGCCGGGGTAAGTGGTGCTGATAGCACTGCTGTCGGTCATACAACACTCAAACGGGGATGTAAGGAGCGTCATATACAGCCAACGAGCTGAAAGTGCTGCTTACTTTCCCGGATACAACACATCGCTAAGTCTCGGAGCTCTTCGATAATCCTGATACAAAAGCAAAGGCATTCGCCCACACGAAAAGGAAATAAACAAAAAGCATCAAGTAAATGCAGACTGCAGTGTTCAGGCTGGCGGAACATCAAACAAGCAAGAATCAAGAATCAAGGTTGTTTGGGCTCTGGAAGAAGACGTCGAGGTCTATGTCTTCATTAAAAGAAAAGTTCCGGATTCTAGTGCTTTCATTGAACTAATTAAAACTGGGACTAAGTAGTAATAGCTCACCCAGCATAGCGGCTTCAACTAGCATGCTTATCTCGTTTCTGCGTCCCTCGCCCAACACTCGATTCTTTTCTCTAGCGCCTCCCTCCCCATCAGAGACCCTCATCGTCCTCTTTCATTCCAGTGTCAATAAACGCTCTCTCCTAATAATATTGACCGCCCCTTTCTTCTCACAGCTCCCTCAAGTACCAATCAGTGAGCCCAACATGTCTCACTTCTTCCCAACACACACCGCTCCATCTCACTATTCAGCTCTCGGGGTTCCCACTACTCACCAGTCTCAGACACTGTCTCAGAATTCCTCCGCTGGACATGTTTTTCTCCACCTCCAGCTCTGCGAAGGAGACACAGCTGGCGAACACCAGCGCGTCGGCCAGCGCCACCAGCCGGTGCAGGAAGCCGACGGCCACGTCCACAGACATCCCCTGCGTCGGCTCCAGAACGTCCAGCTCACTCTGAAAGGACGTGGGGGGGGGGAAGGGGGGTCAGATGTGACACCGACATACCCTGCGTCGGCTCCAGCACGTCTAGCTCGCTCTGAAAGAACGGAGAGGAGAGGGGGCCAGTTAGATGTGAGGTTCATCGCCACAATTCGCCTGAAACGGTGCAATATAAGCCCTTCGACAGACTTGCAACAAGCAAACGACATACACATCAGCGTCAATGCATCACACTCATAATTCATACGGGGAAATGTATCCGAAGTCTTGCACGTTGGGTGAGAAAAGCGAACCACCTTTTGAGACATAACTTTAACACTGTGACTTTGTGGCCCAACAATTCGTGACTTACGACGGGACGGCAACTCCCGACTATATAACTCCCTCTTCCGTAACTCCCGAATTTATGGCTCTTTCCTCCGTGACTCCCTCTCACACGACTCCCTCGTCCAAGCGTTCAACAACCCCAACTCCTGTGACTCACGTTGGGACTGGTGGCTGCGGCCAGCAGTGGCAGCAGACCGCCGCAGGCGATCACCAGGTTATCAGCCAGCTGGGAGATCAGGTGCACCGTGTTGATGACGAAGATGGCGTTGTCGCTGTTGTTGACAAAGTCCAGAATGTTCTTGTTGGAGTGCCTGAAAAACAAGCATCGTTAGAAAATAATTCAATCAACACATAAGCAGTTAAAAGGGTTCCTTTAAAATTCAATACAAGATACTCGTACATTAAAATTCAATGCTCGGACAATGTCGAGATACCAGCGCTCAACAAAGTAAGACCAGCTGGCAACAGCTGGGTATATCGGGCTTCGTCAGAATGAGCTAGCTGGCTCAGCAAAGGCGTTATGAAATAGTAACCTGGGTGCTTATTTGTGGCTTTAAAGTCATGCACACCTGATTGCAATCCATTACCTGTGCTAATATTAGTGCAAATTAAAAGATCCCTTGAGTACAGTGTAAAGCCGCAAATAAGGCCTTCGTGGAATAACTCTTTCAACCAAGACATTTCAAATAAAGGGACGGCGGATCGGCTCCCGCTGGCAATTTATTTAAGCCCAATTTCGGCGATAATGCCACTCTATATTTCCCGAAGACCCAGGGTAATCTTTCGCCTGAAATTGATATCCGCTTTACGCGGAGACCGCATACAGCCGCAGCCACCGCAGCCAAAAACGCGTCTGCCTCGCGACGGCCGCGGCAGATTATCGATTTTACGTAAGCTTCAAACAAACTCAGAGGTAAAAGTTGAAATGAAATAGGGTCGAAGTTTGCGTTAATTAGTGCGCCAGCTGAGGAAGCCTCGCCACCGCCGGAACCGGTTGCGCTCTCTGTTTGATCATCCGTCCTAGATAGTACGAGTACTACGAAACCGCATCCAACCAGCTATCCTAAAAACTACACACACAGCAAACACAAGTTCATCACTACGAGCCCCAAATTCATCATTACGAAACCACATCCCACCGATTATCCAAGAAATATACAAAGACAGCTAACACAAGCTCAACGCTCATTGCTCTTCCCCTCACAGCCGATACTGTCCCACCCAGTCGCAGATGACACTCACTGTCTCCACTGTTGGATGTCGTTCTCCAGTGAGAGCAGAACGTCCGAGAGCAGCCGTTGGTGGATGTAGCTCCAGCGAAACTCGGGGATACGGAACGGAGGCCGCGACGGGCCCGGGGAGAACATGGCGCGAGAGGCACCCTTACCGCCCGAGCCTGGGGCAGAGAGAGGGAGGGTAGAGAGAGGTTAGAGAACATGGCGCGAGAGGCGCCCTTACCGCCCGAGCCTAAAAAAAAAAAACAGGGTAAGAGAACATCCCACGCGAGGCACCCTTAGCGCCCGAACCTGGAGGAGATGCGGAGGGGCCGGTTGAGGGGGTTAGAGAAAAGGTGAGGAAAGACCTCAGCAGCGTCGAAGTCTGGCAGTCTTTTGAGAATAAAAGAGCATGGAAACGTATACAACAGCTTCACATCATTGTTATACATAAATCGAGAAGATGCGATACATCGCTCATTGGCATAATGCACAGTGCACACCACTTGGACAAAATGGGATTATCCATTGATGCTGTCTTGAAATGTTGATGCAACATAATTAAATTTCCGACGACCGTAACATTATACCGTCGACCACCTGAATTTAATTCGGGTCGTTTCAATTATGCGCTAATCGTCGTTCCCAGGAAACACTTAGCAGCAACTTCAATGGAAAACACCGCCCACATGCTAATGATCAGAGCAATCAAGGGGCACAAATAACGTAGACATTATGTTCTAGCTTGTTTGAAATGCAAGCCACAGCCCGCAATGAACAGACAATTTGCTGTGAAATAGCCGCCATCGTAAATTAAAACGTAAGGCACGGAAAACAAAACTAATGTGCTACACTAAAGACTAAGCCTTTCAAACATTCGGTTTAATTCAATTATATCATTATCCGTAAATGCAATGAAGCTAATCAACGCCACATTCTGGAGCATGTGGCCCTCGCCCAGTAAACCCATACCACACCGCGTCATAGCCCCTACAGCTCTCACCTGGTCGCGACAGTCGCTCATTCTTGCTGTCCTGAGAAACACTGCGCGCCACGCCCGGCTTGGCCTGAGCGTTCCACTTTTTCACGCGGACCTCCTCCTCCTGCCCGCCGAGTTCGGGCACCTCCACACTGTCAGGGACATCAGCCACCGGCTCCGCACCGGCCTCCAGGTCAGCAGAGGGGTCAGCGGAGGGGTCGGCGGGGTCAGCCTCCTCCTCCGCGGGGGCGCTCGGCTCGTCCAGAACATCCTCCATTCCTTCGCCACTCTTCCTCGAGCTCGCATCTTCCCTACCCTCGCTCTCTTTGTCGTCCTCGTCTTTGTGATCTTCCTCCTTGTGATCTTCGTCTTTGTGATCTTCGTCCTTCTGATCATCCTTGTGATCTTTGGAGTCGGTGTGTGGGGCGTCGTTATCCTTTGTGGTATCAGCCTCGGCACTTTCGGTCTTAGTGTCCTCCGCCTTGGCAGCATTGGTGTCGGCTTCGCCTTCATGATCGCTACCTTTTCCTTCGCCATCTTTCGAATCGGGCTCATCCTTTTTGCTTTCGGCTTCAATCTTTGAAACATCGCCCTTGTCATCAGTAGCTGCACTCTCTTTCACGCTGCCGTCTGTGTTGCCCTTTCCTACATCACCACTATCATCCTTTTCACTCACGTCCTTTGCCACATCACCATTTTCTGTGACACCATCCGCGTCTCCATGCGCCGGGCTCTGCGGCGCTGGTGACGCGACTCCAGCTGCCTTCTCTGGGCTGCCAATTTTTCCGTTAGTGTCGGGCTTATCACCAGGCGTATCCGTATCGGGCGTCGCCGCATCATGTCGACCGTTCTCCTCCGGCTCCTTCGTCGGCGCCGACTCCTTTGACACGATGAATATCCCCGTCTTTGGGTCACCATTGGCGGCGTCTGAGTCACCAGTCACTTGCGCATCACCGTCCGGCGAGACAGGTGCATGTTTCGGGGACGTCTCCTTCTCAGTCTCCGCGTCTGTCCCCGGAACATCCTTTTCTTCCTCGACCGGCGATGATCCCTCCAGAGGCGTCACGGCGGTCGATAGCGGCGAATCGGCGGCACCGTTCTCGGGTACCGCCGGCTCGTCAGGAGCCTCAGCGCCGTCCGGACAGCTGCGGCTCGTCTCTGTCGGCAGTTCCCGCTCCGGAGAGCTCTCGCCAGGCGATGGCGAGGGGTGGGCAGCTGAGTCGTCACCGTCAGTCTTTGGTTTGTCAGTCACCTCCGCGCTATCTGAGGCAGCTGCAGGGACGGCAGTCTCTTCCTCAGCCACATCGCCAGCTGAGGTTTTCTGTCCCTCCACTTTATCACCCGCTTCCTCGCTCGCCACACTTCCCTTTTCTCCCACTCCACTGTCCACTGCCACCTTCTCACTCTCCTCACTCACATTGTCTTTCACCCCCTTCACTCCATCACCAGTCTCCCCACCACTCGCTGCTTTCTCCGCTCCCGCCGTCTCTCCGCTCTGCCCCTCTGCCTCTGGCGCCGTCACCTCCGCCGTTCCGGCCGCTGCGCCGGCGGCCGGGGGCGTCTGCTTGTCCCAGCCGCTGATGGTGCTGATCGGCCGCTGCTGCCTCACGGCCGGGTCGGTGATGTTGTCCGCGCGCCGCCGCTCGTACTGCTCGTACATCTGGGCGAACTGCAGCTTGAAGTCCTCATAGGATACCTGTCGGGGGAGGAGCACATGGTTATTGGTTACCCAAGATAAAGAGAGCGGATGAAAGCAGCTAGGAAAAACAGCAAATTAAAGCAAACAAAATAAAGCAGTTGGCAAGGAGAGCGGCATAAACTAAGGCGAGCCCAGCAACATTGTGAGACTCGGAAACCTAGCGACGAGATGCAGTTACTGGCTACTGCCATGGTAAGTTTGAGCGGTCTGCCGCCCTCTCGAGAAATGTACGAGGCAAGAACTCTATATCCACCCTGGGATGCGAGAAGGGTAGACAGCCAGCTGCCCATCCTCACCTTGGAGTGTACGATAGCTAGCGTGTCGACCCAGACGCGCCATCCGCCGTACTCGGCCTTGATGGCGTGGTGCAGCAGCATCCTGAACAGGTTGAACACCATCTCGGAGACGCGCTGCTCCTCGGCCGAGCGAGGGTGGATGTAGGCCATCGCGATCAGCCACTCCTGCAGCAGGGAGACGGTGGGTGAGGGTGGTGGACGAAAACACAAACGAAAGGGACAAAGAGGAAAACAAAAGAACGGTCGGCAGCAACCCTCCATCTTCACAACAGTCACATTCGGGGCCGAGTGTTATCAACTATTGACACGTCAGACCTACTAAAACACATTTTGCGGGCATCTCGGACACAAAGCACTTCTCATCTTCGCAAAGTCCCACGCAGTCAGAGTGATAACTCACAGCAGCGAGCAGGCTGTTTAACAACACAAAAACCGGCTCCCTTCGCTCGGCTTAAGCAAAAGCATCGACACATATCTATAACGCAGCGGGAAACCCACATAATATGCAGAGCACAAAAAATGATTTTTAGAACCATACTTTAGTATTTCCTGTAAACTAAGTTATCAACAACAAACAAGTTATTCGTACAAACAGACGGCACTCTTTCTCCGCCCAGTGTCCACGTCCTATCTCTTTCCCGATCTGTACCTGCCACACGCTCATCTGCAGAACGGTGCGCCGGTTCTCCTTATTGGCCTGACAGAGCAGCGTGGTGTCTGTGAGGAACAGTCGCTTCACCTCGCGGAGACTGTCGGTGTTCTTTGACTGCCGGATCAGACTGGCCACCACCTTCAGTATCACTGCGGGGGGAGGGGAGGTTAGATGATGAAGGAGAAAGAGGTGAAGATACGCACAGAAGAGAGAGAAAAGACGGAGAGGCATTCGAGGGACACTGGAATGGAAAGGAGGTTAGAGTTGAGAGAAGAGATGAGCGAGGGAGGGAGGGAGGGGGGAGAAGAGAGAGAGATGAGCGAGGGAGGGAGGGTGGGGGAGAAGAGAGAGAGAGAGAGAGAGAGAGAGAGAGAGAGAGAGAGAGGGAGAGAGGGAGAGAGAGAGAGAGAGAGGAAGAAAGAGAGAGGAAGAGGGAGAGAGAGAGAGAGAGGGAGAGAGAGAGAGAGAGAGGGGGAGGGAGAGCAGCGACTTCCACCTGGCGGTACTTCGTAGTTATGCTACTGGCGGTAGCGAATGTTCACATTGCTGCCATTACATTACATTGCTAGCATTATCATTACATAACAAGTCAGCACTTCATTAGGTTGTCTATTCGGTTCAGTGCTTGCGCCACAGCTGAAGCCTAAAACAAACGTCAGCGCCGATGAATTGAGCATACATCGCATCATGGCGGCGGCCATATATTTTGATCGACATCGATCGCCGAGGCCGGCAGAGTCGCCGCTCGGCCGGTTTGCTTTGTTCCGAAGATATAGCCGGGAGCGCCGGCCCACGTCCACATACTAAATTGAAACGAATGCTCGCAATTTGGATTCATGCTGTGGACTGAAAAATGCCGACCGAAATTTCGGGTAGTTCAAAGGCGGCGAATGTCAACGGAAGCGGGGTTTTCTATGTCAGAGCGTCTGTGGAGGATGGAATGAGGGCGTGCCGCGTGTCCACGGTGTCAAGGCTTTCGGAGTGTCAAGGGGTTATGTGCGTCACTAAGGTGTCTCAGAGTGTGATGGCTGTCACTGGAGTGTTCGGCGTGTCAGGGGGGGTAACTGATGTGTCTCGGCGGGGTACTTACTGGGGTTCTCCAGGCGGTGGCTGACTTCCGGGTCGGCGTGGCGCACGTACAGGATCCCTTGGGTCATCTGCTCCGTCAGAATCTGCCAGACAGAGGTAAGCGCAGGTCAGCAGAGGTCAGCGCAGGTCAACTAAAAATATGGTCAACGGGAGTTATAAGGAACCAGCCAGCTTACCCAATTGCCACTGGAAGATAACTAGTTCAATGGGTTAGAAAATCGAACGGACTGAAGACAGGCCTATAAAACACATTACTTTCGACACATTAAGTCTTCCAGGCAAACAAAAGCCACGTTGACACATCACCGACATTCATCTTCCCTCATGTCAACATCCGGGCTCGTCACATTAACACAAAGTTTTACTGCAAACTTCGCCACACAATGTAGCATTCAAACAATATTCCAACCACTCTGCCTCGTCCGAGCCGCTGTCACCGACAGCAGACAAGCAGCCGGCACGTTTCCATTAGACGGCGCCAAGCGCAGGCACACATTTACTGAAGTCCATCTAGGTCGAAACACGGGACGGTGCCAGGGTTGGCAGTGAACACCCGTTAGGTCGATAGTATTAGCGGCCGGCGGGGTACACCTAAGGAATCCCTCGGCAGGATGTGTTCAGTTACTTACCTCATACAGAACGTTGTACGTCGCCAGAGTAAGCGACTCCTCGTTCAGAAGAATCTTCTCCACTAGCAGGGTGTACAGATTGTGCGGGTTCATCACATCGTACTTGCGTCTGAAAAAAATCGGTTTGTGATCGCATCAGGAACTCATGCTGAATTTAAGATGGCATCGTAGATTCATTGCGCTCTAGGAGGCAATGAACTTACGATCAAAACATGAAACGATGGGACGGTGGCTAAGCGTTAGCCGTTAAGCGCGTTGTTTATAGTATGAAACATGATACATACTAGCTACTCGGTTGGGTTAGGTTGCTTGAGTTCACTTACCATCGATCTCGTTTGCATAATGTGAGCGCTTGACAAGCTGACCTTTAATATCACACAGGCAATTCGGCCGACATGCGACCAGGACATTGCATTAAAGATAATAGCAACGCTGTAACATTCACGTTGCACACAATAGCACGAATACTATTCATGCTAGCCAAAATGGGTTGGTCAGGTTCGCCCGTGAAACGCAATAGACATACGGGATATGATCGACAAATTAACGACCCCAATATCTTCAGAGGATGAGGCAAAAACAATAAAGTAAACAAAGCTGTCCATCTATTCAGAGATCAGACAAGAACACTAACGCAAAAAGCTTCAGTCGTCGTGTCAGCGACGCAAACAAAATTATAACGAGGACAAAAAAAACAGTGGCGACAAAAAAGAAAGGGTATCATTGCACGCACAAAAAAGTTCGCAATTACTGCATTATTGGGCCCCAATTGGGGCTTTGAGCACTGGCTGGCGCCGCTCATAGTCTGGAAATGGCAGCAGTGGGTGTATATGAGCACGGCGTGCGTCCCGAAAAAAAAGACTGGACAGTCGGTGTGACGGACGCTGGTGGCCAGCGGTAGGTGGCTAATCGATGTGTGTACCGCCGCCATCGGGCGAAGGAGCGCACACAGTCGGATGGACAGACTGTAACAGGCTCATAAATGTCCATCAGACGCTACGGCTGCGGTAAACACACGTCGCGCCTTCTGTCGATGACCAGCGTCCCACTCCACGGGGACATACAGAAAGGCTCATGTCGCAAACGACGCTTGCGATCATGCACAGCCACCCTATCTCTCTGGCTTTATCTTTTGGGAAGTAACCACCGTATCCAGGAAAAACCGACACAGCTGATTGTCTCGAAACATTGCAACGCACATCAAGCATCTTCAAAGCAGTCACATCCCAGCCCCCTCGCCCTCTTCTCCCCCACAGATGTGCCAGTCATAAACCTACCCTCACTCACTCTTAACACACCCTCCCTCCTCCATCTTCCTCTCAATCCCTTCTCACCCCACCCCACTCACTTGTGCGTGCTTCTACAGAGGAAGAATCCCATCAGTTTGAGCGCCAGCAGTCGGATGGTCTGCGACTGAGCCGAGAGCAGTTTCAGCACCGACTGGATGCCCAGCTTGAGGTCGAAGGCGGGCACCATGGAGGCGGGGTGATCGGCCATCAGACCGATCAGCGTGTGCAGCACGTCCTCCAGGTTCTCGTCCTGATGAGGAGGGGGCAGGGAGTCAGTAGAGGGGTGTCAAGGACGACGCAAGAGAGGCGTATGAGAAGTAGGGAGCTGGGTATGTACGGGCGGGGAATGGGGCTTTCTTCTGAGCGAAAACAGAAGAGTAGCCAGGGTCGAAGAGAAGCGGTTGATAGAAGGACCTAAAACATACAATGGATATGAATAATCGGGTAATGATTCAAGCAAGGCAATTAAAGCGAACTGTGACGTTAGAAAGCTTTTTAGATATCAGTGCAAATAATGTGTCATTAGGAACGGGTTCAGTGAGAATGCCGATGCCGCCCTAAAACCACAAAATAAATGGAATAACGGATGGGCAATCGACCGTCGAAAAAGGTCAGGTCAACGCGCTAATTGATCAATGGGTATCATAACATATCACTACACTTTTCCACAAATCACCAACGCAACTCATATCAATCATTACAATCATTACTCAGACCACAAAACATCCTCAATGACTGCAAAACCGTCTTTATGATCCCCCGGGCTACCCAAGCGATCCCCAGAGTCCCACAGCACCGAAAACAGAGTCAGAGGGGCGCGCCGACCGATTACGTTTACACACCCGAGTGGTAAACCAGTCTGTGTGCACAGCAAACCGAGCCGGCCCCACTGCGGCACTCAGTCTGTCGAGAACACTCGACAGACTGTCAGACAGACTGGTGAGCAGTGTCGCTCACACTTCAACGGGGAGGGTTCGAAAACGTCGCTGTGACGAGTGAGATTAATGATGAAGGGAAATGAGTGAAGTGGGTTACGGATTTAGCAACCACTCTAAGCGAGTTAACATGTGATTGTGATTGCCGAAAGTTGAGCTAATGCAGTCTGAGCATTGCAGTGTGGTGAACAGTTTCCCTAGAGCCTATTCACAAATGCCTGCTACGATAAGGATCTACCGATACGACTCTCGCACTCTCGTAAATCCAACAGGCTACAAGTTTCAAACCCAAATAAGCTAGGAAACTTCTCTCACGCGGCCGTCCAACATCCTGATTTAATCAAACACCTGTTCCTCTCTTTGACAACTTGCCCGCAGGGCACACACATACATTCTAACATCTAAACTACCGTCTATAGTGGAGTACTTACCTCGTGAATCGTGCTCAGGTAGTTGAGGATGCTCTGCAGTTCGTCTTCCTTGACGCCGTTGCCGATCAAAATCAGCTGTCTCAGGAAGAGCAGCATGTGCGAGCGGATGAGCAGGACGTCCTTCTTGGAAGGGCGCGCGCCGTCTGCCGCAGGGGAGAAGGGGCAATGCGTCGAGGCAGGGTACCCAGTGCAGGCCGGATCGGTCCGACGGGATCGACAAAGAAGGGAGCAAATTGCCATGCCAAAATGAGTTTTCAAATATTGCGTGCGATAAACGCTGAGCTTTGAATGAGCTTCCTGGGCCGTCAAGCAGAGGCTTTATCAAGCGCGCTACCAGACAAATGTCCCTGTTTACCACTAAAGCCCACATCATTTCACCCGCCAAAGACCGTACACTCAACCTCCCATCCATTCTCATCTTGTACCGCCTCAGCGCCAGCCTCGCTCTCATCATGCCGCGCCCTAGCATTACAACCCACCCCACCGTTCCCTTTACGTCCAACACTCCGTCCCATCACTTCCCCGTTCACACCTTCTCACCGTCCCATCGTGCTCCACCCCGCCCACCCTTCCCCACCACCCTGCCGATTCTCACCGACAGCTTTAGGCGTGACCCCGCTCTTCTCCTTGGGGCTGACTACCCAGTAGTAGTATTTGAGCGTGTGCAGTGTCTGGAGCACGGTCGACACACGCCGCACGCTGTTGTAGATGTGTGTGTCACACAGAAAGTCAGAGGCCAGGTAGCCGTAGAGCCGCGTCTGGACGCCGACAGGAGCGTACACCCACAGCGCCGGGTTGAACAGCACGTGGTCCAGTAGCTGCGGAGAAAACGAGGTGGGTAAGCACGTTAACAACATTGGGCCTGGTAAGTGGGTAGATGGAAAGGGTCAGTTAAAGTGCAAGTCTCGTGTTGTGTGAGCCAGATGCGTTCCACAGGTCGGGGAGGGAAACCGGGTCGTAGACATGATTGAGAAGACCAATCGAATTTAGTCCCACGACTAGTTTGTTTCGCGATGAAGGGATGAAACAGCAATGAAAGAAACATGATAAACTGGTATCCACAAGGAAGTTGAGCTCAATGCAACAGTTAGCTCAATGATCACAGGTTTCGATGCACTGGAAGCACCAAGTAGTGAAGGTTGACGCCTTAATGCCTAGCATCTACCCAGTAATTGGCCCCGTTAATATCACACATAACTTCGGTAATAACATCACCACACCCAATCAATATCACCCTTGACACACCAGCACGCTATGTCATCAATTACCCCATTCTGGCGCTCCCCATCTACCTCACACGCACCATTTTGGCCATCGTATTTCCAAATTGCCTTCCTCGGCCCCTTACCGCGGCCAGCGTTTACACAAACACCTAGTCGCCATTCACCACCGTCCCGGAGCCGATCGGCCGTCCACGGGCGGGTGAACGCAGCTCGATACCGATCGAAGCCGTCCGTCCGTCCTCAGCCCGGGCCGCGACCCGTAGCGCCAAACAGAGTGGCCTGTTACGTGTCCGGAATGACGGAGCGGCCGGCGGACCGGTACCCCGCGGTGGCGGCCGAGGGCTGATACAGCTCTCTGGTCTGCGCAGGAGCTGATTGAGAGGATATAGAGATGGAGGTGGAATTTGTTACTTCACCGTTTGTGCCAGCAGATTCGACGCAAAATTTGACAAGAAACTCACTAGAAAAGTTTATCTTTAATATTCGCCAGTACTAGCTATCGTTCGTGACTAAGAGCTGTCCTAATTCTTTTAGTAAAACTATGAAACAAATTGAAGACTCCATTCTCACTTCAAACAGCCAGCGGCTGTAGCCAATATGTCACAGAGCTGACATTTGATCAGGCTTCAAAGCACTACATCACTGTATCGAAACCACTGCCTCCTGGCCGTCAACTTCACCGCGTCGATTGAATATTTAAGGAGCTGTCGCCGTCGTGCACTCGATATCTGACAGCGTTGATCAATGGCACCATCCCGCGGGACCAATAAAGACCTCCCGTCGGCTCGTCGCCGACAGCCGCCACCGATACACGGGGGTAACGGGCCGCGCACACCCCGGAGGAACACACCCCGCAGGGCGGCGCGTAGACGGTGACAGAAAGGGTGCCATAAATTACGCAGAAACTGCCGAGAGCGAGCCAGGGGAAGGGTGGGAGAATATGGATGAGAAAGGAGAGGGAGATAGGAACAATAAATTTCAACACCCTTCATCTTTGGCTTATCAACTGCCAGCGAAGTGCAAAAGACGACACAAGAAGTCACACATTTCGGCGTCACACATACCAGCTGATAGCGCCAACCTGTTCTGCTTGCTCGTTCTTCAGTCACGGTTCTCCTTCCTTTCTCTATCCACATACCAACACGCACATTTCTCCCCACCCATCCCCTTGCATAGCTCCGAGCAGAGTTCTAAGCTCTGTGCGCCCGCAGCTCTAAGCTCTGTGTGCGTATCACCACCTGGCTCTCACCTGTTTGAGCAGTAGCTCCGTGTTGGTTCCGGGACAGGTGACCAGGTACTTGGAGAGCTGCAGGAACACGCTGAGCACCTGGTCGTTCATATGCTCGCGGCCGGTGCGCTGCAGGAGGTGTGAGATGACCAGGAATCCGCGGCACTGCAGCATGTGCTGCTGCACCACCGGCGACGTCTCCACCAGCTCGCAGATGAAGCCGAGCAGCGTGGCGCTGCCGGAGGAAAGAGGGGTGTAAAAGAAGGGATCAAACGATAGAACTAACACAGAAAGTTCTTATACGAACATACATAATCGAACAATGTAATGCTGCCGTAGGACAGGGCGATCGTCAAAAAGAAGAGCAAACAAAACAAGAGCGCTGATGTCCTGAAGGGACTCGACGACTCCACCCTATCAGAAGCGATATAAATCGCATTGCTTCGATCAAACAGTACGGACTTTACCGGACAGTGCTAATTACAGCAGTACTCGGTTATTTATATATCATTGATAATCACGTTGAGTGCGGTCTAACGGTCCATACCAGCCACACAGAGACTTCATTACTCCGATTTGCACAGTCTGCATCCCTGAGACGAATTGGCAGCCCTTCCAAAACTTCCGGGGGGCTCTCTTGGAAGTCGGCTGGCATCGCGACTGATAATGACAGCTAAATCAATACCCTCCGGGCGCGGACCGATGCAGTTTTTGCCCAATGATGTAGTTTTCCCCGCTACGTGGCAGGCCGATTGAATTCGACGCGACTCAAAATCAGAGCGAGGACGGTACGCATGCAAAGGACACTTGTCACTGCGTTGGAAGGATTCAGTGATGGCAATGTCGTTTTGAGGATCGATGCTAAATAGATGGGTGTTGGGGTGGAACCAAAATATTTTTGATTGACACTATTTTCAAAAGGGAACTCATTTCCTAATGCATTAAATTTAAAAAAAAAATCGCCCGTGAAAAATATCCCGTGATATGTAAGCTGCGTTCATTTCGCTTAGTCGCGAATGCAAGCCCCTAAAACCTATAGTAAAAACCAGAAGCAAGCCTCCTTTATCCGCTCGCGGCTGAACTTTCCATGCGACTCTGCGCCTGGTGTCCAAGGCAACGGCTCCAACACTCCCAGTTAGGGTCAATAGCGACCCACTCAGGCTAAGTGTGTGGCCGCTCTAGGCAAACCTGTAAAGTGGGGACTGAAAACAGCGTCTTTCAATTCTGTTCAATACGAGAGGCGAATAGGTAACTCAAACACAAGTGGTTCAGGAAATATTGAAGCATTGGAAAACCAAATGGCAAGCGAATATAAAACGCAAGAAGCTTTCATGCAGGTGCTGCACTAAGGTTCTTTGTCAAAGGACTCAGACAAATAAATGCCTCCACCAAGTGACCACCTCCGCCGGCTCTTACTGACCAGAGGCTGGGGTCTCGCCGCCCGTCAGCTCCGTCAGCCCCGGGCTCCACGGGGAGGTCCAGCTGAGAGAACAGCGGAAACAGCACCTGGATCCCGCCGATGGCGTTCAGTGTGGCGTAAATCGAGTGTGTCACCACCGCGCGCACGTCCTGAAACAGAAACAGAGGTGAAATTATAAAACAAAACATGGCGCGGTAGGTTAGATGCGTGATTATGGCTCTCAAATCCCCATCATGAAATTGCTAAAGTTTGCGTAAGTCGTCGCAAAGATAAGCATCGTTTGTGGCACTTAGTTGTATCGCTCCGAAAGCGATCCGTGGTGACAGCTCCGTCCGGGAGCGCTCAGTCGTGAGTGTTCTGTTCCCATGGAAACGCGTCTGATTAGCAGCCAACCTTGAACCAAGTATGGTTGACATTAGGCGGTGGCGACAGCTGGGCTTAGCTGCATGAGGAATGACTATGGCCGCCGGATAGGGCTCTGATGTTCAGCATTTCAGCTGAAAAGAATGTAAAAGAGCGCGTCTGTCATTATGCTAATATATTGCCCGAATGCGGCGGATGGTGGACGGGTCCATGGGCGCCACGCGCGCTGAGGCTATACGGAGAACTGGAAATGACGTCAGCGCTACAAATTATCGATAATGGCAGGGCTGGCCACCAATATATCATGTGAGCCACCCCGTCGGTCTGGCCCCTCCGCGCCTCATGCAATCACAGCCAGATTAAATCCTCCTGATAGCACGACGAACGTATGGGTCCAAATTACTATTGGCTGCACGGTGCAGAGAACAGAGAACAGAGCACATCATACTGACCCACCAACAGGCATCGCTCCCCTAGTTTGCGGTAAACTAAGGTCCCCAGCTACTGGAAATACGCATGGATGCACCACACTCTTACTCCCACCCGTCCAATAAACGTTATTCAAGTGTAAATGTCGCATCCCTATTCACGCCAGGCCTGCCGCGACAAAATTAAAGCGGTCATTTCATAAATTACGCAGTCTCGTTATAAGCAGGGGGACGCGGCGCGGAGGTCGGAGAGTCCGCCACGGAGCACCGCCGGCCGATTTTTCCACCGTACCGCCGCTGCTGCAGGGCTGCGCCGATCTGCGCCGAACGCCCGACAAATTACCGATCAATGCAGTGTTTATGAGGCCGCCGAAATCCGACAAATTAAGATCGCTGTCGAGCGCTGCATTGAGACAGCGATATACAGGGTGGGGCAGCATAATCGGGAATGCTTTTTGGGCTCTGGTCATGAGTAGGCATGGCATTATTTTGATAAATTATATCATGGCAATGAAACGCCCAAAAGTTGTGCATCATCTGACATGACTACATCCATGAGCATGCAACTTCCTGGAAAAGAGCAGCAAAATAGTTCGACGGTGCTCCAAGTGCTTTGCGCGCGCCCATAGACACTAATGTTAAACGAGTAAAACAAGAACATTTTGTTTAAAACAATGCCATTCCACGTAAAGGTTGCTGGACAGGTCAACGTGTTATCACGGACGATAAGGATTGTGTGGGGATACTTAGGACAAAAAGTTAACGTAATCGTCGTAAAATAACTCTTAGCAGAGGACATACAAGATGACTCACTTGAATATAAGGAAGAAGCTCTTGAGCATATTAAAAAGAAACAATGTTCAAAACTTCAGCGACCAAAAATCTTATCACCGACTGGAATACGATAAAAAAGAATGGCATGCCATATAGGGGATTGTATCGAGAATATTGCAGCGGTCATGCAAAGTAAACATCCTGTTGAGGTGATGGACCTATGGGTGGTCTTCAAGGGAGGTGCACGTGGTGCACCCTACTTCATCGAGCCCGGATAAAACGAGCACCTCTGGTAAATACATCCACACTCTGGCAGACTCACGTGGAGTCGTCGGAAGAGAGGATCACTGACGGTCCAGATCACGTCTTACGAGGACTCTGTCCGTGCTGGTACTGCAGTGAGGACGACATGTTATTGTGTAGGGCACCTCCACCTGAGATGAACCAAAAACTTCTGGTCCTTCAACTCCGCCGATTTAAATCCGACCAAATTCTTTATATGGAGCGTTTTTTGGTAGAAGTTTAATGAACAACTTATCATCAGTAAAAACGGTCTTCAGTGCAAGGTACGAAGCTGATGGGCGATCATGGACAAGCAGGAGGCTGCACGTGCATGCGCGTGCTTTTGGACCCGCCTTGAGAAGGTCATCGACGCGAAGGGCGGTCAAATAGGATGAGGGATAGGTAAAAGGTGACCGATTGATGGGATGTTGTTAAAATAGTGCTTGGAGCTATATTTTTAAATTCATGACCAAATAATCCCGTTTGATATTTATTCCCGATTATGCTGCCCCACCCTGTAAATATCGAAACAAAACGGAAACGGAGAAACTGGTAGCCGCTTTACACTGGGAAATGGTCTGTTAAATTCGCTGTCAAGTGCCCATTCAAGAAAGCTATTGGATACTTTGAAAGTGCCATCCTTTGTAACAAAACAAATAAGTGTGGAACGAACGTTCAAGACATTGAAATTACATAGCCCACTAGAAATGTTAACTGATTACAATATGCAGCGAGCTCGTCGGCAGTCATCTCACACCCCGCCTTTAATCTCCCTCCACATCATCACCCCACACGCGCTGAGTCCGCGCCGGTACAATAGCGTTTCAGCGCGGCGATCCATTCGAGCCCCGGGGGAGACAGCGCGACCACCATGAGCACACTGTCGGGACGGCAGCACGATTTACGGCAGCTCGGAGCTCATCGCGACGCAGCGGCAATAAACCGCCGCACCACCCTCCCCAGCGCTCTGAGCGTCGGTCTTTAACTTCAGCCACCGTCGCAGCCGCTGCTGTCTCCACCGTCGGCACCGCCGTCGTTGTCGTCGCAGCGCGCTAAGTTAGCGCACCGCTCTTCATTACCGGTGACCGGTGGAGCGATAAATACGGCCGCTGGGACGCGCCCGAGCGGGCGATCTGTCACCGGCGACCGGCCCACGCCGGCCCGGGACTCATGGTCCGAGCGCTCGGACGCGACGGCGAGGGTCGAGCAGGACGCTGGTGGGATGTTAGGTGCTCGGGGGTTAACTGGGGAAGCAGGCACTGGCTAATCGGAAGAGAAAAGAGAGGTGAAAACGAGCCGGCAATCCTAACAATGAGATGATGGTCATTTGTGACCGTAGTTTTGATAGATTACAGTTTCAGCAAACCCAAGAGCTGCGGACATTATATCAAAGTACGTTCCGTTACCATGCTCTAATGCTCATCTCGCAGTCTAACGCTGCAACAAGCCTACCGTGGAAGCGAATCGTTAGCACCACCAAAAAGTTCACTTTTTAGGTCTTGACAGGCCCATCGATGCTCGATCGATGCCAGTCCCGCCGGCGCCACGTGCCGAGCCTCATCTCATAATGATCCACCTCGCACGTGTCGCACCCCGTGCTCATTAGCGCGCGCACGTGTATCACACCCCCGCCCGTGATCACCGACAGTTCGTGCGAGCGTCTCCCCGCGTGCGTGCGGCCGGACGCGCGTGCCGGCGGATGGGCAGGCGTGCCTGGGTTCGTGTTTCTCCCCACGCCATGTCCTGTGTCGTGTCACCTATCACGCCTGTTCCGTCGCCCGTCCGCGTGCCTCCTCAGGCCGCTGTTACGACTCAACCGCCGCGCGCGCGTCACACGTCACGAAATGTCACGCATCACGTAACGCGCGTGACGCACGGCGTGACGCAACGGGCTCACCTGTCGCATCAGGCCGTGGGCCGAGTGGACAAAGTAGCTCTGGTTGCCCTTGGGAGCGGACTGAAGACAGAGCTGACCGTCCGTGGCGGCCGCGCTGTACATGAAGACGATGGCTGCAGACATCTTGCCGTCATAGAGCACCTGTAGGAAGGGTGGAGAAGGGGTGGGTCAGTCATCAGTCGTCACGTGTTTCACTCCGAGAGAGCGTGTCAGGAGGCTGAATATGACAAAAGTACGTACCCGGCGCAAACTAATTGAGTTATGGATACATACGTGGGAAATTTACGCATGCTGTTAAAACGCACGACCAGGCGGGAATGGTCTTGGTGGTTGTCACTGGTTGTTACCTAACCATTAAGCTATTAACACTACAGTTATGTATGAATGCATCAGATACTAAAAAAAAAAAATCATAAACACAAAACGAAACGAAATACGTGTAAGACGCTAGCACTTCATCAATAAATGCGGACTACAATTTAAATGTTGACTTTCCTTCAGATACCTCATTCACTCATGTACACAATATCAAGCGGGAAAGTCAGCCCCACGGATGAGCCCTGTGTAAACACATTTTCCTCGCCAGTGCGCGTCTGGGCCGCCCGGCACGGGACGTCGCGTGCCCAGACCCTCCGGGTTACCCTCGGGAGACTGCCGGGACGGATCACCTATCTGGGAGCAGAGCACGATGCCATACAGGCAGGTCACGCGCGATACAGGTTGGTACACAGCGTCACACGCACGCAAACAATCACTGGGATATCACGGCGAAAGGGTTCGATCCAAGCAACAAGCATAAATTCAAGATATTGATAAGCCACCGGATGTTGATAGATCTGAGACTGTTGAAAGATTAAATGGCGATGATTTGCTCGATAAACCCAGCTTGGAAAAATGGAATAACAACAGTCACATCAATTATTAGTATACAAGCTAACAGATGAGGGCGGCCGTTCATTTAGACCGAGACAGCAGAGCATGGCCGTCAATGCTGGGTAGCCTCCGAATACTTCTGGTGCAGCGTAGGAAGTTGCTCCGTTCCCCTATCCTCAGGAATCAGGGTCCCCCTGGGAGTTCCCACCACCGCTCCGTAGCCCGCACCACCGCTCGGGGTCCCCTCAGGAGCTAACGGTGACGACGGCGACAGGCGCTGATCGCCTCTCCACCCATCGATCGGGTTGGCCAGCGAGGCAGGCTTCCGACATTCTCAGGAACACCTAGACACTCATGGACACTCCAAAGACACTTAGGGGCCGCTCAGACACTCATGACAGAAGCCCAGGGAGACTCAAGACAATGAGAAACCACATACATAGAGCGATAAGTTATTTACTCAGCGGCATGGGAGGTTCTCATCTCTCCCACCTCATCCGATCCCAGACACATGTCATCAGTAACCCAAACCCCAACACTGCTGTTTGGCACCTGGTTTTGCACACGTCTACAGCCCACCAGCCTGCCACTCGCTGACCCATGGGTCAGTCACAGTAGCCCCCACAGCCTAGTTCCTCAGCTGATTCACTTTTTTCTCTCAAATTAACATTAACGATGGTTCCGCCACTCAATCTGAACGGTTTATCACAACCTCGACAAGTCACATATACATTCGCTGGAGCCCGCATTTCTGCCCACATACTATTCTAATCGCACATGACCACCGTACCCAAATACACAGTCACTTCTCAACGGCAGTCGCACGTGCCAGCCGTTCCTGAGGCAACTTACCCGTCTGTGGTTCTCCGAAAGACGATCACTGCTCTCGGCCTCGAACCGAAACTGGCTCTGTGAATACACGAAAACGGGTCTCAGGTCAACAGATGAGCGGTGGATTTCCCATAAGGTTGAGTCCAAAACTGTATGGGTAAGCAATTCACTTTTGGAAAATGCCCGCATAGGAAAGTCAACACAGGCCCGTTAGACAGTTTGAGGTACGGTGAGGTCTGATTCGAGATAATTACAACTTATTTTAATAAAAGCACCACTAGATGTCTGCCTATGGTTGCTTCAGCGTCATGGGAGGCCCCCGTGCCCCTCCCATGACCGGCCACGCCTTTAAGCAACGGCCCACGAACGGCTATCATAGCTCGTACGTCATCATAACTTTGCAGACATTCGCCGGCGTGCGGCCGATATACGACCGCCATCAGAGACAAAGTTGTCCAGTTCGGTTATTGGAGAATGGTCGGATGGCCATCGGTTGCCAGAAACTACGAGTTATCATGCAATGTAATGCATTGGGCCAGTTGGAACAGTAAGGCATCATACAAATGTCTGGTAAGATCATATAGGATTACATTTATAACTTTTTAAATAACTAATCGGCAATAAATGTTCCGTGCTCATAGATCATGCAATATGCATCCTAATCACACCTTTCACAGACGTGCATTGTAAATCGTTGGCTTGTCTGCATTTATCCACCAAATATCCAATAAATACTAGATAAACTGGTACTGACATCGTCGATATCCGCAGATGAAGCCTTCTTTACCCATCATCATCAAAAAAGCACCCTCGTCGGATCCATCCATTGCACCACTACATGATTAACGACGGCGGTCTGGAGTGGGCGGCTGTCTTTTCTCACGGCTTTCCGCCAGACTCTGAGCCACTTCATCACTTCTACCCCGTGTCGATCGCCGCGGCAGATATCAAAGATCGACCCGGGCTGGAGGCTTCGTGCCGGTGGCAGGGAGTGAGACAGGGACCCACAGAAGCCTGTCATCGTAATTATCAGTGGATGCAACGCAACAACGGTGTGGCGGCATACAGGCGGAATCTTATTCACACCATGGAGAAAAGCGGCTCCCAATGACCAAATTTAGTACACATAGCAAGGAACAAACAAACAGAATCAATAAGGGCCTCCTGTCAGCCCGAAACCTCAACCGTTCAGCAGCAAAAAATCAGAGACCCACCACGGCACAAGGCAGAGAATGTCGGCAGTCTGCAGCCTGTCTGGGTGACGTCCCTCGAATTTCCAGCCAGCTTCTCAGCGAAACACGAGACAACTCTCAGCTTCCTAAAACATAAACACGGAAGCCCGACGAGCAAGGCAGGAGAGACAGGCCGAAAGAGGGACAGAGAAGGGGAGAAGGAGAAGGAGAAGGAGAGGGAGAGGGAGAGGGAGAGAGAGAGAGAGAGAGAGAGAATTTGCGAAAAAAGAAATCACAGCGGAGGGGAAGGATGGAGCAGCGTGCAGAGGAAAGAAAACGTTGGGCGGAGAGCGAGAGATATGAGACGGCAGGCGGAGACCAGTGGGCGGACAGACGGCCCTTCCAGCCAGACGGATGGCAGCCGGACGACCAGTGACGTCACAGACACGGCCGATAGCGCCGATTGTTCTTCGCCGCTGATCCCGCAGATCCCGGCCGAAACCGACGGCACCGAAACGGGGGAGCGGTGGAATGGCGGCGCCCCCGCCGCAGACGAAAGGTGAAGGAAACCGAATGGCCGGGAATGCTTGGTGAAATGGATGGATTTGGTTCCGTTGGTGCAAACTGCAAATATTATATAGTTGTATGATCGGCCGGTAAAGAAAACCAGAGCAAATTGACTATAGAGTGTTGAGAACTACGAATTATGGTCGATCTATTTTCCTTAGCTGCTAATAAACAGCCTACGGAACCCATCGGCTTTCCCCGGTGCCAATCGACATCAATTATCCTTCCCCATTGTCGTCTCGGGGTCCATCAACATCTATCAATTACAGCTCCCGGGGGTGTCCTCAGCTAAATGGGACGCTGATCCAATCCCCGAGGCTCTGTTGGTATCATCGTGACAGGCGATTATTCCTGCTTTCAGCACAGTCTCCACTGCCTCCACACTCAGTTGCCGCTGCAGCCTTCACCATCAGTCCTTAACCCTGTCGGCACTCTTATTCCTCCAACCCCGTTTCACTTCTTTTCTGTCCTGTCGTCATCCTTAGTCTCTGCCCGCCATTGGTCCAAGCCCTCAGCCGTCTGTCTCATTCCCTCCTCAGCCCCGTCACCATCAGTCCTCCTCTTCCAGCCCCTCGCTGCCTCCTCCGACCTAGGCCGCTCCCCAGCTGCCGTCGGTCCTTCGCTGCCTTCTCCGACCTCGGCGCCGGTCCCTCGCTGCCTCTCCCGCCTCCTCCGACCTCGGCCGCTCCCCCGCTGCCGCCGGTCCCTCGCTGCCGCCGGTCCCCGGAGGAAGTCGGTAATGAGCCCGTGTCGGCCGCCACCGGATGCCGCCGAGCCCACTGGGACCTGACGGAGCGCCGGACGGCGACGGCTGACCGAGCCGAGCCGCGGGGCGGAGTCCCGGTCATTAGTGGGCGGCTCCGGCGGCCGCCGGGGACCGGCAGTGTCTCCGAGTGGAGGAGGAGCGAGAGAGTAGGAAAGCTTAGCTACTGCGAGTGCCTCGTGGACGGAAAAGCTCAAACGATGCGTCTGTATGGAAGCAAGAGGACCGAGTGGCTACAATGAGAAGCTCGCCTTCTGAGGCGGCAAAAACTCGCACGAACTAATCACACCGATCGAGAGGGTCCACTTCTTCCGCTGTTGACAGTCAACACTGAGCCGATTACTCGCTGTCAACTGCACCGCTCCCGCTACAGCCGATCGACGGAACACAAAAACTTCACCAACTTCTCTCCATCCAGCTCATCCCGCAGCCAGCGCCCTTCCATCCATCTCCCTATCTCTGAGCCTTCTCATGCCACTTTTAGATCTGGCAGCCCACCACTTCCAGCCCAGGCGGCCCGTCCGCCGCTCGGTCGGCGCTCGTTCGGCTGTCGCCAGTCCGTGATAAAGTATCGGTCACCGCGGCCAGTGTCCCCTCGGCGGGCGGCTGCCGACGGCGGCTCATTTTCCAGCCGCTGGTCAGTGACTATCTATCGCCGGGCCGGACCGCCCGTCACCGGCAGACCCACGCACTGGGGTGATGCGTAGGTCCGCTGCTGGGGTGGGACGTAGCTATACGGCTCTGGGACAGCGGAGCGGGCTGAACATGGGTCTGGGCATGGTGAAGAAAGGCGCAGGGGTTCAGAATTGGGAGAAGGACATGGAGAGAATATGCACATTACGTCGTCACTATTCACCGCAACATGGTAAGAAAAAAAAAACGGTCGAGCCTGAACGAGAGGACGACTGACACACGTTCATACCTAGCCAGAGTCTAGCAGCGATATCGCGTGAACCTCTCACAAAGCATTGAAAAAATAGCGTGCGCGTCGCAAACCACAAGTTAAAGAAGTAAGCATCATCGGAAACCTCAGCACCAGTCACTGAATAGACCAGACATCTCCCATTGTCTCAAACCTGTCTAAAGGCCTGGCTACACTATGCGTTTTCTGCGCGCGTTTTTGCAGGTTTGCGTGTTTTGCGTAAAATCGTTCTAGGAAAAAGTTATAAACAATATAATTTTTACTTTGGATATATACAAAAGCTAATATAACTCTTATGTAACTAAAATTTAAGGTGAAAAACATCACAAAAACGTAATATCGTTCCTTTTTCTAGAACGATATCACGTAAAACACGCAAACACGCAAAAAACGCACGAAGAAAACGCATAGTGTAGCCAGGCCTTAACGCTCAGCGGCAGCTTGGCTCACCTCTAATCAACATCACCGTTCAGAGCCGGGCAATCTTCAACCCCTTCATCGATTGGCGACGGGAGCCCGCCGCTGCCGACTCTGCCAGCCGTCCCGCCGACACTCGAACCACACTCGGCGGCCCATTGATACGCAGTGGCCGTACAGAACGGCGTCTTATTCCCGCCGAATGGCCGGCTATTCCCCCATCCCGGTCAGCTGATCACCGCATGTGTAGGCCAAGGAGAATACTCATGGGGAATGTCGAGCATGTCAGACATGGGATCGCCATAGGGCAAACGCTGAACCAATACATGACCTACGCTGGACCATCCCTAGACCATCCTGGACCTCCACGGTCCCACACAGGACCGGCAGACCAGCAGAGGCCACGTACACGAGCCGCAAGACTACTCATCGACAGACCGTCGCGTCGGCCGTCGCGCTCGCGTCGGGTCGCCGCCGCATCGCTCAGGAGCCTCGGCTCCTATCACATCGGCCGTCCGTCCGCTGACAGCATGTTAGTTATGCGATGAGCGCGGCGATCCGCCAGCCTCCGTCGGCATATTCATGAGGCCATCACGAGTCGATAGTCGGCGGCCGATGAGGCGGCGGCAGAAAAAGTGAGCCATTTTCGGCAGACTGACGGACATGATCAGTGGGTAAATGTGGTAAATGCACGCCGAGCAACGCTGTGGATGATAGGTATGTGGGATGAAGCGACATTTTTAAGTCTAAGACTAAGGATAAAAAAAGATTATGCCAAATGTTATTCTGTGGGATTAGCATATCTAGACCAACCAGCATCACTTTAAGGCCACGATGGGTTCTGGACAAACTTAAAATATTCGCGGTATCTTTCTGAACAGAGATTCTCAAGCCCATAAGCATTCTTCTCTTAACCACGTTCCACAAAGTTCAATCCACACAACTAATTTGAAACGTGCCCTGCATTGTCCTTAAAACTCTTGTACAGAGTCTAGCACAATAATGTTCCTAAATTCTGTACTTCAGGATGTTTCAGATTGCAGTTGGATCTAGCAGTGACGCTAGAAGTAGTTCAAGTAGTTCCGTATTTCAGCCACTGCTCACACGAGCTAAAACTAAGTTCACTATTAACAGCTTATCTGTCAGAAGATCTGTGCAAAGAACTGCTGCTATCATCAACACTGATTTCCCTATTGGTGCAATCACTATCGCCCTCAGCACACAGCCACTACATACGGACTAAACACGGCCAATTGTACCACAGTCAGTTAAATGGACAATCGATAGCTGTTAAATCACGGGGGAAATCACGCTCGGTTACCAGCTTTAATGATGGCATTGGCGCAGCTCAACATCGCGGATATAACTCATACGATTCCACCCGGCTTTGAGTCCTAAGGGAAATCCCGACGCATCGCCGAATTTTGCCGACTCCGGAAGAAACTTATTCGCACTTTCAGCAGCAAGTCACGTATCCGGCATCCTTCCGACTTTCTGTACACTCAGTGCCTCCGGGAATCTGTAGAGCCAGCGTTCTCTTTTCCAGCCTCCCGCCCGTTCAGCATTTCTAGAAATCGGTGAGCCACTGGAAACCGGCAGAGCCAGTCGTCTCGATGAAGTCCGCTTCGCGTCTCGAGGAATCAGTAGAACCTTCCATCTCGTTAACCAATATTCTTTTTCGTCCTCTTTCCCCGGGAGGCAGTAGAATCCATCATTTCTCCTAGCCTACTCACTCAACGTCTCCGAGAAGCAGTAGAGCCCGCGTCTCACCTTGTATCCGGGGCCGAGCCGGTGCATGCCGCAGACTTGGTGTGCGTTCAGCGCCTCGGAGAAGAGGTAGACGGCCGACATCTGGCCGCAGAAGACACGCTCCTCGTCCGGCTCGTTGGTGGCTCCGATGTGGCACTTGTCGAATGTCTGGGAAAACAGCAGAGAGTCAGCTCTGAGATATAACACTTATACAATTTTACAAAGACAGCACACATACGGGCGGCATGATAGGCAATTTCGACGATAAGCAATTAGTACGCAGCAGAGTGCAACTGTAGGTACACACTACACTTGAATAAGTGTGCTTCGGAGCACGAGGTGCTTTTCCCCTTCGCTTCTTTGCATACCTCCTCGTTTTCCATCTTTCTCTCTTAGCTTCTTGATTACACAAAGGTTTTGACAAGCCGAAATAAAAATTGACAATCGAAGAACAATGCAAACAAATGCAATGCAAAGACAAATGCAGACAAATGCGAAGAACATTGTCCCCATATATTGACTAGCACATGGCACACTGATCCAATTATGCAACGCGACGCGATGTTATTGTTTCAAGAACGCTGTATGATTTAGAGCCTGCTTTGATAATCCGCCTGAGTGGGCGTTACAGACAACGTTCAACTGAGTCTGTCTGACACGTCTGCATAAACCAGACCGAAATGTCCCCAGGTAGTCGCTGCAACACAGCCCAGCATCGCCGCAGCAAATCCAGACCTGAAATGAAAGAGCCACTGACTCCCAGTACAATTGCCAGCCGAAATGCCAGGGATCTGAGATTGAATCCTTATTCAACATCTCCAAAATAAGGTCGTCTTGCAGCACGTGCTTCGAAGTGCTGGACAAAATCCTTTTTGGATTTACTGGACGACGCCAATCCACTTGCTAACTTCACACTTAGCAACATCCGAAGCTCCGAGCAAAACTTTACGCTTCATAACAGCCCACTGCCTAAGGAAAACTCCGTTGGGAAAATCCCCGGGCATTAGCCGTGCCCGTTTCCAGCTCGGGGAGAGCTCCGCGACCTCGGATTATTGTGGGCGACTTCTCAAAGATTTTCCACGGAGGAAACCATCAAGCCGACTACAAAACGACAAGAAACCACCACTCTAAATGGCTACTACATTTGAAATTCGACTCTCAACAGTCGGTAAAGTTTTCCCATTATCTGGTAACGACGGACCGGCTCGTAAGGTTCGGGAAACACCGAACACTGGACCGGTAATGATGGCCTCGTATAACCCAACCGAGGACCGGACCCAGACTCTAACTCATCGATTGGGTGCCATGAAAATTATAAGAGATACGGAAGAGAGGAAATAAGTTCTGGTTACAGGCGAACCTGAATTGGACGAGTGTTGACCACCGATTGAGAAATAAAAGAACGCTCTTGAAAATTTACAGCTCAATGGCTTTCTGTAAGGGATAGGCAAAGAAAGTAGACGAAGAAATAGGTCTGGTATGCAGTGTTGACTGATTATCGTCTTGAACAAGCATAAAAGAAGTGACAATAAGACACCCTGTCGCCCATGTCTGTCCATCCTCGCCCAGTCCTCTCCGTTGACCATTTCTCACAGCCGTTTCCGGGGCTCTCAGGCTGCCGGCTAATGCTATTATCTTTTTACTGTCATTTATCCTGCGTCGTCGCCGTCCGGTGGCTGTGTGGCGCTGCAAGGCTGGCGTCTGGACGCTGTCCGCTGTCCGAGCAGCGGCGCGCGGCTTTCATCTGCGGCTAATCTGGCGTCCAATGTCCGGCGAGCGGCCGTGCCGGTCATTTGGAGCGCTCCCGGGACATCTCGAGTGCCCTCCAGAGATGAGGGCCGTGCGGCGAGCGGCTTTGTTCGGTCGGTGCCGACGGCTGGCCGCCGCTGGAGCCGCCCCTCTGCTGGAGAGGCTGTGAGCCACCGTGCCTACTGCCGGACGTCGAGGACAGGCGCGCTGTCAGGAGCGATAGCTGCTTCTATCCTCCCCGCTGCTGCCCTGGTGATGTCAGCCGCCGGGGCACAGGGTCGCTCGTCGGACCCGCCGGTCGGCAGTCGGCCAGCTCCGGACAATAACGGGACCCCCGTCCCCGTCCTCGGCGGCGGGGTCGGCGGCAGTTCGGCGTCGGCTCGGCGGCAGCCAGGCGCCCCTCCCACGCCAGCGGCCATCGATCCGGCGTCGCCGACCGCTGAAACCCACCCGGCCCGGCGGCCGACGTCGGGCCGGGCCGGCAGCGGACGAGCGAGGGACGCCCTCGTCTCCAGCCGCGCGAGCGAGACAACATAGTTACAATGCTGCCGTCTGGCCGCCGGCTTCCCAGTAGTCGGGACGTCCCTCAGAGACCACTGTCAGACATCGCGGCGTGAGCGAGCATATCCAGCAATCTGTCATGTCGCACCAGAGCCGCGCCGAGCCGCGTCTCTCGCTGGGTAGAGCGGGCAGTGAGCAGTGCTCACACAGTGCCTCCCCCGGCTAGTCCGGAACGCCGCTGTTCGATCGTCGACAGACCCGGGCGGCTCCGGAGGGCCCGGAGCGGCTCCGGGACGGCTCCAGGGGAGGCTCCGCAGCATCCCCTCCCACCCAGCAGGGACCGGCCGCCGCCGACACCGCTGAGCGATCGCCCCTGGGAGCGGCGCCGCCCAGGCACTGATACAAGCCAGACGTCGGGCTCGACGCATCGGCAGCGACAGCGACGGATCGCGGCCGCGACCATTACTCGATTGTTCTTTTTGTGCCGACGATCTCCATTACCGAAACGGAAGAGAGTAGGCGTCAGTGCAGCTTTTCATTCATCTCTCCTTGGCATTTACAAAGCACTTTAATATCGACCGAAATACTGGATTTCGCTGAATTCCAAGAAATAACGGATATCAGGACCATAATTAGACCGGAGCCGCGATGAGTGTTCGGAGATATCGCGCCAGGCCAAAATGGTCCATCAGGCCATAGTCCGGCCACCGCTGTTGATGGAGACAATGGCCTTCCTCCCTCCCGGCGCGGTATCAGCACCCGCCGCGGTCGCAGCCAGACCAGATGCTGACACGACCGCCGGTCCCTCACGGTCGGCTGGCTCGAGGCTAATGCTGCGACCATCATCCGATACTTAGGGCGAGTTAGTGAGATAACTGATAAACTGGCGCACCAAGTCTGAGGGAATTCCGAAATGCATTAATCCAACGTAATTCCTCAAAACACTGTGCCACTGTGTGAGATGAGTGGGAGTTACTCTTCCATCATATAACCCAGACAGATCGCTTCCGCCAGGGGCTCAGTCCATCGAGAGCGGATTGATCTGAAACCAGCAGGGAGCGAGTAGCCACCCACGCAGTCAGTAACTGCCGAGCATAGATGGTTCACAAGACCGGCCGGGACATCTTTGAGCTATTGCTAATTGGCCTCTGATGGTATCTGAAATGAGAGATGCTTCGCGAAATGAGGGCTCAGTTCCGCTTGGAACCGAACTCAAGGTTCCAATGATCTAGACTCATGAACGTTGTATGCATTTCCCGGATGAAAAACCATTAAAGCAGAACTAACTGCTGATTTTATCTATCCGATATGCAATCGTTTAAACTCTGAGCTTATTAAATAGCAGTGGTCAACGGATATCCATTTGAACATCAAGACCCCTCTCCTGAGAAAATAGCTCAATTGCACCATATTACATTCCTGAGAACATGTCAGCTATAATTTCATTTGATGTGCAGGCTTGAAGAATGGACCAAGTTCTAGCAAAAATGTTCAGACACATTTTTCCCGGAAAAGTATGTCACACAAAGTCAACAAACCCGCGATCATGTCTGCTCCTTTATGTTCATCCTGTCTCCGCCCGGTATTTCCCCGTCTCTCCCACCAATACCAGGGATATCGCTCGTGACCCAGACTCCTCAATCATCAGCAATCATGACAATGACCCCGAGCGGGCCTCCACAGCGCCGATGGACCACCCCTTCCCCTCCTCCCCACCGCCGAGCCACCAGACCACGCTCCCCCGCCGCCAGCGACGGCGGGCGTCCAGGGACACATTACTTGATTAGCCGGTATGGGGAGGGATATGTACCGAGCCCCACCGGTCGGGCGGTAAAGGCGGGTCACTGTGGCAGCTACGCACCGTTACGGTCGAACGGGACGGCATGCATGGAGGGTAAGTACCAGGAAGGGCCCTGACCACAGTCTGCCCCCCCCCCCCCCCCACCCCACCCGGTTGCCGCCCGCCTAGGGCATTTCCCGCAGCCCGCCTGCCTGCCGTCCGTCTAGGGGCGTTTCCCGCTGCCCACCCGCCTATCGTCGCTGCCTAGAGCGGTTCTGGCCGCCCGCCCGCCTGTCACCGCTGGCCGCCCGCCTGCCGTCCGCCGCCCGCCCGCCTGTCGCCACCGCCTGCCCGCCTGACGTCCGTCGCCTAGGGGCGTTTCCCGCTGCCCTCCCGCCTGTCGCCACTGGCCGCCGCCCTGGCAGGGTCGCGGGCGAGGCCTCCACGCCAGATTGAGCGTGACGCCCGGCGAGCTGTGTCCGGGGTTATTGGGGAATGGATCGGGCCAATAGCAGGACAACAGAGTGCTGCTGCCTGCACCACCGCTCCGTTGGGGAACGTCGAAAAACAGCGGCGCTTCGGAATGCCCCAGCAGTACTGTCTGGCAAAAGTGCTAGACAGCGACATAAAATACTGATCAGAAAGACAAGGAACTAAGCAGCATGATCAGTAGTAAAAAGCGGCACTCTGGAGTGTCTACGGTACGTAAGGTGGGATAACATATGCACTCGCGTGGAACTCCCCGCTCGATATGCGCACGGCCATAAAAGCACATGCCCGCCTGGTGGAGCGTAGAGATTGAATTGCGTTCCCCGAACGGCGTCCAATAAACTGAACTTGAACGTAAAGCCGTCTCTCCGTGAAATATGTCCGGTATCGAACGTCGATCCGATGCAACTCGACGGTGCAGTAGCGACGGCCGTCCAGCCTCGCCAACTTTGGACAGGTGACGGCCTATTGCATCCCCCTCCAGACAGGCTTTGGGAGACGTGCCCCCCCCCCCCCCCCAGCACAGAAGACGCGGGGCTCGATGGGTTTCCATCACCCTTCCTCGGTCCATTGGGAGACGATGGAATGGAGGGCGAGACACCAGTTGGGAAATAAAGCCGAGATACAGCCGCAGCCACCGCACCTCGTTCTGGGGGTAATCTGTTTCTTATGAATATAAAGCACCCCCTTGGATTCGATATGACTGGTTATGAGGAATGCGGCTTGGTCAAAATAGCACGAAAAACACTATCTGCAGCTATAAAACAAAGAATCTCACGGATGTGGAATCTAAAATATCTGAAGTAAGCATTTCCTGTATCCGGGCGATTTTATCGAGTCTGAACTCGAAACGATATGTCTGCCAACTGAAACCTTCTTCGTCATTTGCTACTGCATACATCCGGAAATTAGCCGACATCCCTCCGCTGCTCCAGGGGATCCCAGGTCATCAGTAACTCGGCTCACAGATTGTGTTGACACGAACGGATCGGATTTGACAATGGCAGCAGTCCCTAGGCGTACTGAACGGAACCGAACCCACGCTGTCGTGCCGTGCTGATATCGTCTTTATCTCACTCATGCTATGGCGTAACTCCAAACCACTTCAGATAGTGCAATGACAATCATTCACATAGCCGGTCTATCGCCATCAAAGGCATCCCACATCGCATAATAGTGAGCGTTTATCCACAGCCCACACCCCATAGCACTCGAGTGTTGATGTCGCGTGGAAAGATAGCCAGTACACACACGCCGGAAATGACTCAGGCATACTCTTCGATCATAACTCGCGAGCGCCTTTAAGCCGACAACGCTACCACTGCCACCGCCGCCGCCCTTGCCGCTCCTACACCAGACATCGATCTGGGGCGGTTGGCCGGTCGTCCGGTGCAGGCACGCTTTTGCCAGACAAACGCACTTTCCTCTCGGCTTGCCAGTGGTAATTGCGCACTGCCCGACCCTGCCAACGGCGACCAGCCGTCTATCCACAGTCCACACTATCCAGACGGCAGTGGCTGGGGAGTCCTCTGACGACGGCAGGAACGGACTCCCTGACTGTGGACCCGTACTGCGGCGGACGGGAGCGAACCCACTGACCGGAGGAGTAGTCGGAAGTCGTCACGGACTCGGGGTACTCGGCCGCCCACCGCCGCGGTCTACTGGTGTACGGCATGGCTCACCGGACGACGGCGGAAAGCCGCTTCCCGCTCCCGCCGGATCACATCGAATCAGCAGTAAATCAGACGCTATGACGGCCAGAGAGCCAGTGGCCAGACGTGGCGTGGGCGATGTGTCCAGAAAAAGAACGGTGTTGGGAAGATATGAGCGAAATGCTATTTGTCATTTCAAAGCAGCAAATTCTGGCAAATGCACAGAAGTCCGTAAATACAGATGAGATATGCAATGAAAATAAAACATAGTACGTGACTCAGAAACTAAGTTTGATGAGATGGTTCAAACGTTTAAGAATTACTATCTCTAACTGCTATCATCATGGCCACATTCCGCCGAGCATCGTCCGGCCCATCAAGCCCTAACGCCGTCTCACATTTCAATGAACTCCGCTCACTTCTTGTTCCACCTCCCCATAGGCCCCCTTGCTTCCACCTCCCCCCCCCCCCCCCTCGCTAACTGAAAACCCCAAGTCCAAGACAGACGAGAGATGCCAATTCCGTCGGCGTGCGCCTCGCATCACTAGCCCAAAATGTAGCCGGGTTAGCAAATTGGATCGCATCTGCTGACGTCGGCAGAGAAAAACCGAGGATTGCTAGAAACCCGTCCGCATTCGGTCCCGGACCACACAAAACACAAACGCCGCGACTGCGTGGCTCTGACAGCAGATTTCCTTTGGGCGGGGCTGATGTCTGCCGAAAGGAATTAAGTTCGCTCATCAGACGCTATTGACGTGGTTGTTTTTGGTATGGGAAGTGCGTTGGGGTGGTACCGCCCAGTCGAATGAAAAAGCTAAGTAACACAGATTCGCGAAAGTCGCAGAAAAATATCAGGTGTCGCTTCCAGTTCGAGTTGTAGTAATGGAAAACCCGCGAGCAATGTCCTGGTAATATTCAACTATGCAAAGAGCGACTGATTGCAGCCGAGATTCCTTACAGCAGACATCTCAGGTGAGATTGCCGCATGATATCAGGCGACGTTTGCTGTTACTTACACCCGGTCGCATATCAGGGCACCTCTTGGCTGAGGTCAAGACCAGGTCAGGCCGGGTTGATTCTGTCTGGAGCTCGGGTCAGGTCAGGTCAGGTCAGGTCAGGTCAGATCAGGTCAGGTCAGCTCTCACCTCGCTGCCGGGCGACACGAACCAGCCCATCTCTGTGCTGGACGCCAGCTGGCCGTTGACAAACACCTTGATCTCGCTCTTGCTCCACCGGTTGTAGATGTACACGATCGCGATCATGTACCACTGGAAGAGGACATAGATCAGTCAGAAAAGTGTTCAATTACAAGAGGCCAGTGTGTTGCAGGTCAGGCTTTGCTGACGATAATCGATTATCTAGCATACAAACACGATTTGCGTTTTATCAGGGATACACAGTCTTACATAACTGTCAGATACATGTGACAAATTCTAATGCGAAATTTATCGCCCTTTGCATTCTTAGGTGGCACCGCATCAATTACAATAGAAACCCAAATCCGATTATGCAGAATGGATGCAATGACCTTTGAAACTAACGCGATAAAACCACCCACCAGAACTGAATAACATTCCCTCTGAGGAACATATCCCCGGACCCCGCAGTAGCTACATCAAACGACCCAACATCACACACGCCGGCTTTCCAATGTTCCGCTCTGGTTCTCTGTGGCATCGAAATGGCCGCGCCGGCACCGGCAGGGCGGCCGCAAAGTTCAAAGTGGTGGCGCCCGCGGCCGGCAGTGGTCCCATGAGGGCACGCACGTGACCGTCGAGCGCCCGAGTCCGTCCCATCGATCTCGGTAATGGGTAGGCCGTGGCCTGACCAAGTCTCAGACACACAGAGGGAGATATTAGCCGGAAACCGGCCGACAGTTCTTTCTTTCTTTCTTTTGACAATTCTGTCATCTGTACCAAGATACGTGGTCCACAAAAGTCTTGCGGCCCCGACAGACGGACAGAAGGATGCGGTCGATAGTAGTTTTGCACCGATCAATGAAAGCCGGTCGTACCGGGTTCACGGAGGATAGACTAAGCCCCGTCAGACACAGTACGCCGCCGTCAGGTCCGGGCAGCGTTATGGATTGGACTCATTTCATTTCACTTAGGGGAAGGCAGTTAATTAGCTCCGCAGCCGTAAGGAACGTTCATGATTAACGGCTTCGTGCGTGCTGAACACTCAGGAATACGTTACGACTCTCAGTGCAAACGCAGCAGCATATTATCATCCTCTAGACAAGGTAAACACAGAAACCTCCCCCACGAGGTGCAAGGAACGCACTCGTAGAATATCACCTGGCAAAGGAGACCAAATTAACCAACCAAATAAACCAGTGACCAACCCAGCCCCCACCCCTCAGTGACACACGGGCACACACTTAGGCCATCGCCACGATTACGGGTACTCCCAGAGGACCGCGGGTGTAGCGGTACTCACGCATGATAGAGTGATAGCAAACAGACTGGGCTCGTAAACTAGCCGAGGCGCCAGGGGACGGGTCAACGAGCCGCGGCCGCAGCTACTTCGCAGCAGCAGTGTTCAAAGCCCCAGGCGGAGATGCGGTTACTCAGTCTAGATAGATAGCGATGATTATTGATTATACGTTTCGGTGCGAAGTAACGCCAGTTACTTTTCGCCCATGTAACGACAAAGGTTGATACTCTCAGATCTAAAAGAAGGGGGTTGAAACCGTCCTCGCAACTCGACTCCTTGCCACAACTCGACTCCGTTCACCATTTGCCGTTATCCCTTGCACTATCCCGTCAGTTCACTTTGGCTGTTCCCTTCCGGGTCTCTAGCCATCCCCTATCCCTTCCCTCATTTCCCTCCCCGTCATACCTATACCATCCGCTACCGTTTCACCCCCTCCCCCCCCGCACCGTCCCCCTGCACAGTTCCCGGTGACCGTCGTCCTGCAGCGTCCGGTGATGGTCGATCACCCGCTCCCAGCAATCAGACCACCACCCGGCCGCGGGGTACGGCCAGTAACGTCCCACCGCAACCGATACCACCTCTGACCGCCACAGACGCATTGACGACCGCCCCGGGGCACCGGTGGCCGTACACTGAAGGTCAGCCGGCGACATTCAAAGTTGGCACTCAAAATGAAGCGCCGGTCAAGAAACTGATTTCGTAAAGCCACCGAATCTGTGATTTCGACGATAACTTGGGTTCGCTGAAGGTCAGAAAAGTCGGGAAGGCCAGAACATTTGGCTGTTGCTACACGTCGGAAGTAAGGGATCTAGACCGAGCTTAACTGGCAATCTCTTACTGCAAAGTGTGTACAAAAGTGGACCCCTAGTTGGCCAATAGCACCTTAAAATATAACAAACTGAAAGTCCCGAGGGTGAAATTATGCTAACGGAGCAGCGATCATGTCTTATTGAATAGTTGAACATCTCTCAGCTAAAAACATCACGGTTCAGGTCTTCGCTACCCTCGTCGTCTTTTACATGCACCCTTCGTCTTCTACAGTCGCACTCTCCTCCCATTAAAACGTTCGACACCCGAGGGCGTGTCCATATCCCCGGCCCCTTCCACCGTTCATACCCCGTCACACCCATCACCGACCACCTAAGCTCGCCCCATGAGGCCCTCTCCGCCCAACCCATGGGCGTCCCTCCGCCCTTCCCATGCATGCCGATAGCACTGCGCTCCTCCGGCGCTGCCCGGCCGACACTCAGTCGGTCTCAACCACTCGTGTCGCACATATTGCCTATTGATCGTTCTGAGCCGCCCGCCCGGCCGACCGACCGGCCACGCGGGCGGCGGCTGGGTGGGATAGGGGGCGGGGCGGGGGTCCGCCACTGGGGGGGGGGGGACCCCGGCCTTCGGATCGCCAGACCATGAATGGAGCCGACACAGCGCGCCCATCAATGAGACCCACTAATGGGTCGCGGCGCCGGCCACAATGGCCAGCCTTCTGTGGCCCGAGTGCCCAGTAGCCGGCTGCATCCAATGCATGATGCAATAGATTCTAGCCCAGTGGAAACGGCCGCCGAGGGGTGTGTGAATTTGCATTTCAGCCACCAAGTCGGAGCATGTTATGCAAAGTAGGGCGACCTGCGTTCGAAGTCCGTTCCTTCTAAGGTCTGAGTGGTACCGAGTCGTACACAAAAGGACAACAGTGCAACCCAAACATCGAATTGTTATCGTGGGACAAGGAACTCCACCTACACAACACAGCAACACATTCTTAGAAATCACGTTACACCCTGTAAGTACGCCCCTCTCTCCTCACTCCGCCCCTCTCTCGCCCACATACCCGTCTCGGCTGGAACTCGTATTTGACGCAGTGCTGGAACCCCTTGCCCTTGATCTTCATAGCGGTGAGCACCAAGCAGGAGCCGACAAAGTGGGCCGAGTAGCCGACGCCCTTGCTGGTCTTGAAGCTGTACAAGTAGGGCTTTTCCCGCTCGATGTTGACCGAGTTGACGGGGTCCAGGCGGAACCATGTGGCGAACGTCCAGCCGTTCTCGTACGGCCAGCGGGCCAGCGGAGGGATCACGATCGCCTGAGGGCAGAGCGGGGGTCAGGGGTCAGGGGTCAGAGGGTCAGGGGGTCACTTATCAGGTCACAGATCGGTGTCACTGTTTGCAGAAACAGATAATGGCATGTGCCAGGGGTCACATGGCACTAAAGTGGGATCACGCACACAATTAGATGGTTGGCTCATGGCTGTGCCTCGCAACACGATATCAACACAATGACAGCAAGAACGTAACTAGTACTTATGAGAGGTCAATATTAACTATGACATGGCCCGTTAATTGTCAATGTCAGGTTCTTGTCATACATCCATTGTAACAAATGGCGACCCATCGCTCAATCCGACTGTCGTGCTCAGCGCTTGTTGAATGGACAAGTTTGGTGAGGCACAAGCATTCCATCATAAGACGGGTCATGTCATACATGCTTATTAGAGCATTTTAGTGGCGTGTATAAATTTTGTGTTAAAAAAACAGCCGAGCATGTCAAATATTTTCCTAGCGATGCAAAAGCTCGTTGTTACTCCGTTACTTGAAAATAGGTCATTAGGTATGCACTCGCAGGCACCGTTGAGATTTATGCAAGGCAAACTTGTCGGTTTACGGTCAAACAGGCTGAGCTTTCGAGCACTGTTTGCTGCACACCAGCCGCGGACGTATCAAGATGTTGAGGCCAGTGGTAGGAAGCTGGTCGCTGACACAGCCACAGCCTCATCGTCCTTCATTCCTCCTTCACAGGCCTTTTCTACGCGTCGGCGACGGAGCGGCTACCGCTCGCCACCACCCCGCCCACTGCCAACCGTCGCCTTCTCACCACCCGAGCTTCCACATCCTGTCGCCGTGGCTCGCGACTCTGGCAACGATCTCGGCTGTCGTCCCCCGGGGAAAAACAGGGCCTGACGGCGAGCGGGCCACTGGTGCGGGTCGGGCGCGGCGCAGCGCGACGGGACAACAGCGCACGGAGAGAGACGGGCAGGCGGACGGACGGACGGGAAGGCGGGCGGGCAGGCAGGCAGGCGGACGGACGGACGGACGGACGGACGGACGAGCAGGGTGATGGACTGACAGGCGGCAGCGATGGCGGTGCCTTTTTATGCACATATACCGGCGGTCTGCACTGGACGTATCACAGCGATGTAGCGGATCTGGTGGAGACTGTGATGGTGATAGAGTGGTGGAAGGCAAAGAGCAGCCCAGAATGCTGTAATGCTGTATAGATGGACAGGCCTGGAGATCGTGATACCTCACTGATGACATTTGTGCTGGTGTCGGACGATTTATATCCTTCAATGCATTTGAAATCGTATTTCTCCTGGATTCCAAGCGAAATCTAGCGCCAAAAAGTTGATGTTTTCCGGAGCGCTAAGTTACCGATTACTATGCAGACGTGTGCAAGCGGCAGCGCAATTTGCATAATCGACAACGGGAGAAGCACACAGAGCGTTAAATTTCACCTCCAAACCGAGTCCCACACCAGTCGCCCCTTCCACCACCCGACCCCACCCTCGCTCGCCTCACCCCTTTCCGTGAACTGGCTACATCCCTCAGTATCGAATCTGGGGCTGCAGGAACCCCGCCAACATGGCTGCCGACCATTGCGCCTGTCCCCGCGGGCACTGTGTCACGTGTGGTTGGTGCACGTGCAGACTAACCGTGTCCCGGCGGCCAGGTGCCGGCGCGCGTATCAGCTGCATCACCGTCCACCGGGAGGGGAGTGGGGGGGGGGGGGGACGGAGGGAAGGAAGGGAGGCTGGGGGAGCTCGGCAAATTGGCTCCCACCACAACATGGCCTGGGGGCGATCGGAGCTGTGAAATATTCACCACAACAGCCTCACTGCGGCCGATCGACCGGGGCGGCGAACCTCTGGAGAAAAGTAACCCTGCAGAGGCGGCCCGGAGAAGTGGCGAGCGAAGGCGCGCGCAGCATTCGGGATGCCGGTGGGTCAACAGATTGTGCGCTCGGTAGACGGCTCGCTGGCATGGAGGGAGGAATAAGGTCGCTATGGTTTCGTCTAGTCAAGTTGGGTGGAAGGTAGAGTTTAGCTATTGAAGATAACATGGGCGGGGTTGAAACTTACCGAGTTGGTTTTCCCGGGGAACATGAAGAATGTGTCTGGACAGTTACGCTGCGGCATCTGACGCAGCACCGACAGCAGTTTACTCGAGTGACGCGGCTGAAACGGGACGAAACACGGTCAGAGTAAGCACGAGCACGGGTACAGAGTATCTGGCACAGCAGTGACAGAGCGGGCATGATGGGGATGATACTACTTACAGCATCGAGAACAAACAAGAACATCCGCTTTAGGCGAGCTTGTTTACGACTGACGAGGTATTTGGGGAGACAGCATGCATACCCATTATAGGAGCAATGAACAAACATTGATGCATGAGACTGATAATGAGCCTTTACGGAGTGATAAAAACAGTATGCGGTAAAAACGGTATGTGCAAAAACAGAGAGGTATCAAAAAGATCAGTGTTCAGGCAAACGTGTCCTGAATGGCGAGCCGGGGACAATACTGGGGCAAAATAACCAATAACGAGAGTCAGACACAAGCCATAAGTAGGTTCATCACCAAATAAGGCGTCTTATCGTTACAACCAAAACAAAATATTGCATTATGTCCATTGCCTATAGATGCCATATTCCATTTCCCGGTCATATGTCAAACTGACTGGTTGATATAAAACAGAAACAACCCGTAATAGATTTCAAATGTCAGCAAGCCACCCATGACCATGACCATGACCATGACCATGAACAAAGGACACCATCAACTCCCAGCCCCAGCCCCAGCAACAGTGTGGCCCGCACCAACTCAGCAACTCAGCCAGCGAAGGGCAATAGGGCAATGGGGCAATATGCCGCCCTAATGCCACTAGCGGGCAATTGCGCGCTCCAGCAGCCGAGCAGCAGACCTAATAACGGCGGCGGTAATGCTGCCGCTCTAGCGCCGGCAGTGAGAAAAGCGGCCGCTCTAATGCCGTCGGCAGGCGGCCCACTGTCGGGTCCGGCAGGATGGGTCGGTTCTTCCAGGCCGTACAGCTGGGTGGGTGTCGGCGCCGACTAGTCGTAGCGACATCCGGAACTGACCGACCCACTGGTCGGAATCTACTTTCTGAGTTTTCTCCGCGAATATTGGGAAAGCGAAAGAATTAGAGGATCACACGAAACATCCCCAAAGCGAACCTCGGGTTTCCTGCCTCCATGCCTCGCTTTTAAATAAAATCTAATAATTTTAGCAAAGCAGGCGTCTACAATCATTGTGTAACCCTCCCAAGTATAAATACTTGAGCAAATAATATATCCACATGTCTGTCATAAACCACGGTAAGTAGGGACACTATCACGATGACCAGGCTGAAACAGTGATACGAGCGACAAGCACAGCATAACGGCACAGCCGGCCTGCAAAATGCAAACCTCCAAAACCATAATCAGCCGGATCTCAGGGCCAGTTCGGCGGCAGCCTGCCGCCATGGTTTGCACACGTAGCCACACAGCAGCGCCCCTAGACTCCGCCCCCCTCCACTCCCCGTCACGGTTAGACACCGTGACTCACGATCGTCACGGGCGAAAACACGGCATGGTGACGACAGACCAACATCAGCGGACCGACAGTCGACACTAGAGGACCGGCACTGGCTGACCGACGGCTGCTGTTCAATTAGATGGCCAATAGAAAAGTAACAAGTTAAGATGAGAATTACTACCTATAAATGCAAGCGTGTCGCAGCGTTTACGAGTTACGAAGTTCCGTGATCAATGATCATGCTGCATATTCCGGAGATCCTGATCACTCAAAAATGTTAATCCAAAGCTCTCGCACGGCGCCTGACGACTCGGTTTCACTGCAGAACTTACACAACAATGTATGGCATTATTCATGGTGTGGCAAAATGGCATATTCGCCCAACCTTTCTCCCCAAATACCCCAAAATAGCACCGCCCTAGCCATAGATGCAGACCAAGCAGTATTCTCCACACAACTTTGTACACTTCAGCATGAAAGTTGGCATAAACTTCTCTCCCAATGTAGCGCTATGGGGATTTTCGGAGCGCCAGCCCCAAAATGGACAGACGCCATCCCGGGATGAAGCCCCAGCTAATGCTTCAACTCTTACTTAAATAAGACGCCACCACGCCGCACGTTCGTGCAATGCATTCTAACTATCTCTAACTGTCTGTCAATTCCACTCGTTCCAAAGTACAGTACTTCCATTCACTGTCCCATCCGTCCTCTGCCGTCCTCTTTCCTCTGCTGTGCTCTGCAAGCTGTATTCCTGCGGTGCTACGTCCTGTACTCGGTTCTCCAGGGCAGTGTGTGTCTCCTCCTGTGCTCTCCAAGCCGTGTTCCTTGAGTGCTCCTTGTCCTCCTTGCCCCAGAGCAGTGTTCCCTACCGTGCTCTCCAAGCTGCGTTGCTCGCGTGCTCCTTGTCTCCGTGCCCCAGAGCAGTTTCTCCTCCTGTGCTCCCGCGCCGCGTTTCCTGCCTTCCGCTGAATCCCCGCCGTACCCCGGTCTCCCCGCGGCCTCCCGGTAGCGGAGGCGACACGGCGCCGGTGGCACGTCTCCAGTGACAAACGAGGTCATTAGGGGTGACGAAGCGCCGCCGGCCACTCGACGCCACCGTCCGGCCCCCGGCCACAGCTGGGGCGCTGACCAGGTCAGGGGCCGCGCCCGGCGCCGGCTGCCGGCTGACCCGCCAGCGCCGGCTGCGCTCTAGTGCTCTATTCTATGCCCATAACGCTGAGCGACGGCGCCGAGTGACCCGGCAGCCGCTAAACTTATGACCGGCCACACAGAGATATATCAGAGGCGCGGCCGAAATTATGAACATCGCCGGCCAGATTTAGCAGCTCGATGTCTTGTAATCGTTTCGCGCGGCCGTTAGCGCCGATAAAACGGGAAAATGATGCGTTATCATATAGCGCGCTGTTATGATGTGGCTATTATTGTTACCAGACATGTGCATGGATCCGAGAGCTGGATCTATGATCTCAGTGGATCTCTCGACAAAATAGAGGGGTTGGATCTATGATCCGAGAGGATCTCTCGACAAAATTCAGGGGTTGGATCTATGATCCGAATGGATCCCTCGACAAAATTTAGGGGTCGGATCTATGATCTCTGTGGATCCAGCGGCCAAAAATTTGTGGAGGACCTATGATCTGTATGGATCTCACGACAACATGTAGCCAATGAAGGTGTCCGGACAAATTGCCGAAAGGCGATTTACCGAATGTCATTTTGCCGAATGCATTTCGCCGAATGTCATTTTGCCGATGTGCTTTTTGCCGACGTGTCAAAAAGTCGAAATGCTAAAAGTCGAAATGCCATTTGCCGACATGCCTTTTTGCCGAAATGCCAATTTGCCGAAATGCTTATTAGTCGAAATGTAAATTTGCCGAAATGCGATTTGCCGAAATGTCGATTAGTCGAAATGTCAATTAGTCGAAATGTCAATTAGTCGAAATGTCAATTAGTCGAAATGTCAATTAGTCGAAATGTTAATTTGCCTAAATGTCAATTTGCCGAAATGTCAATTTGCCGAAATGTCAATTTGCCGAAATGTCAATTTGCCGAAATATCAATCTGCCGAATTGGCAGTTTGCCGAAATGTCAATTAGTTGAAATATAAATTCGCCGAAATGTCAATCTGCAAACCTAGGTTAGGTTAGGTTAGGTTAGGTTAGGTTAGGTGGTGTTTATTTACTTAGGACCGATCACCAATTTACTTTTGGTGCAATCCCCAAGTAAGAAGCAAATCACATGATAGGTATCCTTTGACCTCCTGATTTCATAACTAATAATTAGGTATTCATGGCACAAGCAAGTTTAAAAGCACCAATACCATGTGGAAATAAACATCAAATTGCTCGTGGCGAAGCAGTGCAGTGCCGAAGGCAATGCCTTAGGAGAGATTACAGGCAAAGGTAAGTCAAATATTTTTAGGTTAACCCTCGCCGGCCAAGGGGGGTGCGGGTGCCGCACCCCCATAGGGTTTTTCGCGATAGCTCCGAACACGCTGGCGATATAAGAGCTGAAACTTGGCATAGCTGACCTTTGATTCAAGTCGGATCTTTTTACACCAACCGCATTTTCGGGTCAGGTCAGGTCACCGACCTATGACGTCATAAGTGAACCTCTGCACGGTCTTCAGATGTCGCAACTTCGCAACGCCCTCACGGCCAGAGGAGCTTTCACAGGGAAATGAAACATGCAGGACCTAATATCCATTACGAGTCTCAAAGCTTGTATATCTCAGATTTTCCTTAAGGTTATTTGAAGTCAGGTCATTTTCGTGACCTCACCATTATAAGTCAAGAAGAAAAATGAAAACTGCTATTCTGGCGCCGGGAACGACCTCTAACTATCTCAAGCACACAGAATCGTGATTTGACGCCTTCCTTGCAAGGTAAGATGCGTAACTTTTGCAATGTTGACCTTGCGTGACGTCATTTATGACGTCATCAAAGTCATATTAGTTTTTCGTCAATAACTCCCGATCAAATTGAGCTAGCGAGTCGGGAAAGCCACCAATGGACTCAGGAAGACCTGCAGAATCGAATGATATGCGACATGACCTCTTTCCACCAACTTCATGATCTGGGGGTGCTGACCTGACCGTGACCTGAGGTCAACACCCTAAGTTGACCTGACCCAAACAAAAATTATATCATTTGACGCGCCTAAGCAAGGCAAACACGATGCTGCCAAAATCGCGGCTGTTTTTGGCGAAGTTATTCGCCAAAAACTGAACCACCTTGGGGCATTTGACCTGACCTCAGAGGTCACCGGTTGACGTAGTACCTTAAAACAGGTATCAATCTCTGCGTCTCATAACGGCGCACACGCTCGTTTTTTCCGCGATGCGCCAGCTCCACCAGGGGCGAAACGACTAATAAGCATTTCGGCAAAAAGGCATGTTGGCAAATGGCATTTCGACTTTTTGACACGTCGGCAAAAAGCACATCGGCAAAATGACATTCGGCGAAATGCATTCGGCAAAATGACATTCGGCAAATCGCCTTTCAGCAATTACCACCTCGGCCGGCGCGTATGTAGAAAACCAATAGGTCCGGTGAGGGTTAAATTGTTGTGTATCTGGCTTCAGGCCGAAGGCCTGAAGCCTGATGCACAACCACTTAACCTAAGAATAATTGACTTAT